CCAAGTCGCACGTACAGGGCGTCCTCCCAACAGGTGCGTCGTTGGAAGAGGCACTGATGGCTAAGCCCGGTGTGTGCCCGATTACGAGCACCTACAACCTCACATACGAGGGTGAAGAGGTTGTGATTGATGCACAGGGCGGGATAGCAGGCAGAATCGCCTGTCCTGCCGGAAATGACATCTTCCATTTTTTCCCCGAAATTAGGGATGTGTCGGCGTTTGTTGGACGAAGCTCCAGGGAATCGCAAATGCTGCTAGAAGTTTTGTCGGGCAACACTGACCCTACGCGGTTAAACGTGAAGCCCGGTGAGCAGCCTCCCTTCTTGTTTGGGACGGTTCCAGACATTCTGGGAGGTTGGATGTCAATGACTCTGATCTCAACGCTACTTGAGGCCCTATACGGGATCCACAAGTGCACGAGTGTCGAGGTAGCGACCTGGGCGGGTGCTCTCGCAAAGGAAAGCCCATCGTACCCTCCAGTCGAGCTCCTAATACGGACAGTCTGGAGGACAGATGGCACGAGTGTGCGCCCGAATGAGGTGCTTTTTGCGCGGTCCACCCTAATCGGGAGGGACGTGCCGTTCAAAGTTTTCAAGCGTTGGGCACTGCGTGACCGAACGCCTATGGGGCCTTTGCTTAGGCCGATGGGAGCAGCAGAAGTCCCTTATACGGGATACGTGCTGCTGACGATGGCCGAGTATCGGTCCGCCCTCAAAACGAGGTGCATCCGGAGGCCTGGCAAATTCGCCATCACAGTTTTCCCCATGCGACCTGAGCAGGTCTGCAGGGGGGAGATCATGATTGGGATGGAGGGCGCAAAGGTGCCTTTCCTCAAGTTGCCCAGCCCCAATAATGAGGGCGAATTTTATGTTGACGACCGCGTCAAATACATGGACAAGCGCCATGTCGTTGTGGCCGTTGACCTAAAGTGGATGGCCATCGAGGAAGCCGCCGGCATCTACAAAACCCGACGCGGTTTGATCGCCGTGCGGGAAGAGATACATGCGCCATTCTGGCGCGCATGCTATCTGCATCAGGAAGGGGATGTAATATACATCCGCCCCTGGGCGGTCCGTGAGTTGAATGTTCAGGGACCGCGGAGAGGGGTGTCATTTTCATGGGACAATGCTCCCATGCATGACTACTGGTGCCCTCGGTGCGCGCATTTGAACATGTATGGCACCATTCTATGCAATGGTTGCCATCTGCCGATTTTCTATCGTGAATGGGTGCCAGGCACCGTCCGCGCTCTGGTTAAGCATGGACAGCCAATCTGGCTGAGCGAACTCAAAGCAGTCCGCCCCAGCAGCTGGCATGAAGGGGAGACCGACGCGTGGGCCCCTCTCATGGCATCGGTAAACCCGATTCGCGAGGTGGTCAGCTGCATGATCACCGGTTTGCGCTGCGCGCCGCATCTTGTGCACGTTCCCAATGCGGATATTGTGCAAGTTGCGTTTCAGGAGGTTGCAAAGGTCACCTCAAAGGACACTCACGCTTGTGTGCGGGCGAGTGATGAGGCTCTCGAGCGGTGGGTAGCGAAGCAGCTGCTCATCGAGGAGAGCAACACTGGCGTCTCGATTCCCGACAATATGTCTGTCATGGCATATTTAATCGAGCACCCGCAACAGGCGGCGCAATGGGGTCGTCATATGACGAGAAAGGGCAGTCTAAATTCAGCATTTGCCCTTTACCTCTCTGTGCATATCTTTGATGCCTACCGCATCGGGATTGAGGACGGGTATTTGGTTCCGCTGTATGGCCTAGGCGCCTCACGCGCGGACATCATAATGTCGTTGGTACAGGCTGAGCGACGCCTCACGGACTTCAATACTGAAGATCCGAGTTTCGACGCTTCCACTGTTCTTGATTGGAATATCGACTCTTTGCGGGCCAGTGGTGGATCCATCACGGCCCCAATTGAGTATGCTGAGGCATACATTTATGTCGAAGACAATAAGGTTGACATGGTCCCCGCTTCGCGGCGCGACGGCCAATGCGCCATTGTCTTTGCTGACCCGCCGGTTGGGAAGCACCACAGGCGGGCAGCCACTCCTAGGGGAGACCAACGGTCTGCTACCCCGCGACCTGAATCCAGGTCAAAGGGTGATCAGCAAAAGGGCAAAGCCCCTGCACAATCCTGGCCCAAGGGCGGAGGTCACAAGGGTGACCAGTTCCCAGGAAAGGGTCACAAAGGTGATCAGTACAAAGGCAAGGGTGGCCAATACGGCTACCAACAAGGGCAGTTCGGTCGTGGCGGATCCGCCAGATCGAGAACTCCCACTGGCGGGTATCAGCCTGATGCTCGCGGGTCGGGATACAAGGGTGCTCAGGCAGCCCCTTTCCCGTTCCCAAGTCCGATGTACCCCGCTTTCCCAATGGGAGGGTACATGCAACAGCCAATGGCTGGCATGATGCCGCAAATGTGGCCTGGCGCAATGCCGCAGGGTTGGCAGCCGCACATGCAGGGTGATCCCCGCGAGTTCGAGAATCCGAACTCGCCGCATACCCCTACCTGGGGTGCGGATGATGAGTTGGCCGAGACCGTGCCTCCTCCTCCTGGGGACTGGAACGTCAACAAGGGGAGGGGACGGCACGGCGGCGGACGACATCGGTGATACCTGATGTTCGTCTGCTTCCTTTGCGTGGCGGCGCCAACGCGCGCATGCCTTCATTCCGGAATTCACATAATGGACTATGCTCCTTGTAGTATTTCTGTGTTTGGGCTATTCGCCATTTCGGAATTCAACTGCATGCGCAGCTGTGCGCTATTCGCGCAGGCAGCGATTACCTGTCAGGTGTATGTCGCCGCAGCAAGGAAGTCATCCTCGGCGGCGTCTATGGCCGCTGGTGATCTGCTTTCTCCAGCACCGCTGCTGCTGCTGGTGATGGAGCTCATCAAGGTGCTGTGGTGAGGATCACGGATGCGCTGCACCGCTGCCGGTGAGGTCCTATTCGGACCTGAACCGCTGATTGCAGCTGGTGGTGTTCCTACCGAAGGTCTTTGCGTGATCGCGCGCCTAGACGGTGCTAATTTAAAGACCGTGGTCTTGTGGTCGAAGCACCACGTTTCAACCAGTGGGCCAATGCGCCTAAATCATGAATTCAGGAAATAAATCCACTCGAACCTTACGGTTCGATGTGGTTGCAGTGCAAATGTATTTTTATTTCATGCCTGCCATTCTGGAGTTGAATCTTTGTTTCTGTTTCTTTTTGCTTTCTCTTGTTTGATTTGGCTACCGGCGCGAATCCGCCCCATACCCGTAATTCGGGGTGGTGGCGGGATCCGGGCACCAATGAGTGCCCGGGTATGGGGCCGCGAACCCTGGTAGCCTAATCGGCTCTGTTTTCTTTTTATTTGCTTTTCAACTTCAACATGGCCAATGCGCCCTTCCAAATTCACTCCTTCTCTTTGTACAGGCGAGGAAGGTGTTTTTGGGGGCATGTACTTTTATCATAGCATGTTTCATGCCGAAGCCCAACGCGGCTTTTGGCTCAAGCTTTTCAATCCGGCAACTAGCCCTTGCAATTTCGTCACCGCGCACTGCGGCACGTCACGCTCATCTTCGGCAAACAGTGCCGCTGCTGAGCGCTCGTGGTGGTGTTTCCGGTGGAGGTTGGTCGGGGGTTCTGGTTGGGGTTGGTGCGCATTTGGTTTGCTTTGCTTGCTTCGCTGCTTTGTTTGCCTGCTTGGGTTGCTGCTTTGTGCTTGCTTTCGGTTGTCTCTGCCCTTGCTGGGTTCATTCATCTTTTGGTTAAAGGCACCCTGTTTTGGTTCGTTGTTTGTGCCAGCCGGGGGCACCGCTTTGCCCTTGGGACTGGGGGACTTAAACAATCTCTTCTTGTTGGTGGGATTGGGCCTGTTTATTCTCTCCCGAAACTCTGTTTCAAACCCTTTCGCACACTTTCTACGCCCCAGTGGCCATCCTTGTCTTGGTCTGACCCTCTCAAAAGAAACACGACGCGAGGAACCATGAAGCAACCAAGAACAAAAACAAACAGGAGGTATGTTTGGGGTTGACCGGGGGGGTTCACCCCACCCGATTTTGGGACTTTGTGGGAAAATTGGATTTTAGCACATCGGACCCGCATTCCCCCACCAAAAAAGAGGCTCACCTTGCACTGGCGGCAGGGTGTTCAGTTTACAATCCACCCTTTGATGGGAACATAGGGGTTGATGAATATTCCTGGCCCCAAATGACCATGGGTAACTTTTCTCATATATCTTTGTAGTGGTTGTTCAACCTCTGATCATCCCACGTATCACGGACCTTTTGATCAACCCCCATAGGTTCACCCTGAGGGGGGTTTCGGCCTGGCCGGAAGGGACGTTTTGGCCCGGACGGACAGGAGACGTTTCCTGTAGGTTTGGAGCTCCATTTCGGAGCCACGATGGAGGACAATACTGTGGATGGACGAAATCCTGCACCACTTTGAAACCATGGGAAGCCATTGGTTTCTTGGGTGGTGCAGGATTTCGTCCATCCACAGTAGGTCCATTCCAGGTGAGAAACGGCCCCGCAAAGAGGACACAAATTCAACTTCGGGCCAGTCAAGAAGCCACCCAAATACCAGCTGATTTACAGAGTTGCCTAAGTGGCTTTCGGATGTATCCTTTATGGGTTCCATAGGTGTTGAAATGGTTAGGTAACCCTTAGTAGTAAATGGGAAACCACCCTGTTCGAGGCAAGCTGAAACAAAGGCAAAGCCCAGGATTTGTTAGAACTTTGGTGGTTCCCAGCCATCCCCTTAGGTTTATAGGTTTTTGGTTGGTTTAGTGGTTGGGTTTCCATTTTACCCACAAGTTGTTTTTCCGTTTTTGGCCGGGATCAGTTTCTAGGTCCCCCAGCTAGGTGCCCTTTCTCACCACTTTTTTCGGAGAGGGTTCCTCTACTAAAATAGACTACAGAATTAAAGTTGGTACCCTTATTCTAACCTCTCTACTGGAGGACCTAGGTTTGGACAGCCCGGATTTGTTCGAACCACGGGCCCAAGTCTGTCAGGACCCAAAGGCGTTGGACATGTCGCACGGGGAGGGAAGGCGCCTCGACGCCTTCCATGCCTTTACAGATGGGGCGCCCTTCATCCAGGGCCAGGAGACCCGATGCTTCTTGGGAGGTGTGTACTACGGTGGGTGGGCAAAACCCGTTCGCACCACTTCGAAACCATGGGAAAGCATGGTTTGTTGGTATTTACAGGGGCACTCCAGGGTTTCTTAGGTGGTGCGAAATGGATTTCGTCCATCCACAGTAGGTCCCCCAGCAATTGGCGACTTCTCACCCCTTTTTTGGTTGGGCTGGGGTAGACTTAGGATACATGTTTTTTTTTTTTTACATTTTACCAGTGACTCAAAGTGAAGCAAACAATAAAATATACATTCTATAACTGGGCCTAACTCTAATCATGTGCGAGTGTTCCCCTACTAAAATAGATTACAGAAAAAAACCAGTTGGTACCCTTATTCTGACCTCTCTACTGGAGGACCTAGGGTATGTGACTACCCCTCGCTCCTGAAAGTCTCCTTCTTCTTCTTCGCCATCGCTTTCTAAAAGTACATATATACATGTATATAGATAAACACACAGGGGTTCCAGAGGCATTCTCTGATGGCTGTGTGCTTTTTCATTTTTCAGGGTACCGTTTTCATGGTCGGACTAAAGGAAAGCCAAAGAAAACCATCAGTTTGGGGGTTGTCCTATCTTGACACATACCCAATTAGGGCTTCCCTAAATTTCCCTAAATTTCCCCTTAAAAAGTACCCCACCATGAGGGCAAACTATGGGCCACGGCGGAACATATCGGGAACCCTGAAAACAGGTTTCAGGCAATATGCGGTTTTCTGGATGCTTGGAGTTGTTTGGCAACCATATTCTGTCGGTTATTTGCTTTGCGGGTTTGGTGTCTTGCAATTATAAACTTAACCAGGCAGTGGGAACTGGAGTTTTAGGTTGCCACATTCTATGATACCTCAAAGGCATTCGCATGTGCAAACAACAAAGATGGGATTCCAGCTTAGGTACACGGAAATGGTCATGTTCCACAAAGAACAAAGCTTGCGCAATCCCAACCGAGATCCCAACACTTAGGCGCTAAATGGCACATATAGTTGTTAGCGCCCTCTAAGAAAACGGTGATGAATAATTTTGTTTTGTCTTGCCAGACACCCTATTTCAATCAAGTCAACCTCAGGTTGGGGCTCAGCGGGTGATCAAAAGGACGCCCACTAGCTAATCAGCGGTGGGAGCCCTTTGTTTGAGTGCAGGGATTCACGCGTTTTAGTGGGCTTTCTTTGATTGCTATTATGTCCGGCTAAACAGTTTTGTTGCTCCCGTCAATTTCAGGAGGCGATTTTCGCGGCCATCATCACCGTTCTGGCCTTTGCTGTCTCCATGTGGTGCCTTGGCCTTTTCCCCTTTTTCGCCCGCTCTTTGGCCAAGCCATCAGAAGCTAGGTCCCCCAGCTAGGTGCCCTTTCTCACCCCTTTTTTGGTTGGGGGGGTTCCCCTACTAAAATAGACACAACTGACAAAAAGTTGGTACCAACTTATTCTATCCTCCCTCAAAAACCCATCAGAAGTTTGGTCGCTGGGCCCGGTCTTTCGTGCGCATCTTTTGGCGCGGTCTTTCGTGCGGCTCCAGCCTGGACCCGAGTAACGAGCGGCTCTGACCAACGAGCAACGATCAACGAGCCTTGGGATCGGATGCTCTTCGAACGAGCTCTTCCGGTTTTTTCCCCTCCCCAACCTTGCACCAAAAAACCGGTTTTCCCCACGCCTCCCCAACCCAACCTTGCACCAAAAGAAAAACAATCACCAGAAGACTGACCTGCCCCGGTTTTCTCACTCCTTGGATTCCTGGACTCTTGTCAGTTTTGGGGAAGACCATTTTGCGGGCGCAAGTATGGACTTGTTTTGGCCAACCCGTTCCCGGTTCATATTATAATATGGTTCCAACAGCTCAAGTCAACAAATGGGTATGGGTCGAAATTAAACCACCAGGGGACCGCAGGTTTTAGTCTCTGTTTCTACTGACCAGTATTCCATTTTGGGTACCTGTGTTTTACCCACAGCTAAATGTGTATGTGTTAGCTTGCTAAACTGGCATGCTGAAACAACTCCGATTGAAGCCCTGCCACGACCCCAACCCCCGCTTCCGCCGAAGTTCCTTTCAAAGAAATCGGGAGAGGTTCCATTTCTGGTGAATTGTGCCTTGTCAACAGCTACATGCATGGACCTCTCCGCTTCATTCACCAGTTTACAGTCACACAGTCATGGTTGTCGTTGGGAAACATTTTACATGTTTGCTTATTGTGGCTTAGTGGTTGAAATCCAGCCACTTAACTGCTAACATTTAAATTATTGCTCCCCTTTCAACGTCAACCAAGCTCAGTGGTGCTTTCCAGTTTGTTGGGGGGCTGGAGCCGAGTGGTTTTGCCTGAGACGCGTCCTGCGGCTTTCGTATCGAGACTTTCCGGAGGGTTTTTGGCTGTGAGGAGTTTCCCGAAGTGCCGGACATGGCAACTGGCTTTCCTTTTGGCTTCCCGTAAAGCCACCAGCCAAAAAAGGCCGTGGCTGCTCCACCCATCAGAAAACCACGAAGCACACCATCAAATCATAAGCAAAGGTCACACCTCTGGTTTTGCCCCTGTCATGCCCTGGGGTTTCCACGTCCACCCCAAGAAAAACGAGGCTCCCCAAACGGCCCCGCCCCTGGACCCGGCCCAAAACCGGCCCCGAGACCGGCGAGCGAATCGAGGCTTCCGAAGCTCTCCACGCGCGTGCCCAGCGCCCTGGTGGCCATCGTCGCGGGCACAGCCTTCGAGTGGGCCATCACCCGGGCGCTGATTCTTGGGCGCAAATTTGCTTCATGGGATGTTAGGACTTGAGAAGAAGCTTTTTTTGCCAACCAAGGAAGGGGTTTTCTGTATCAAACCACTAAACGTTTTAAACTCACTTTTAGCAGGGCTGAGCGGAGATTTCGCCACCGAGGTTCCACAGCGAGACGCCCATCGTGGGGGACATCGCCCTTCGAATTCTTCGAAGACGCGGTTTTTTTGGGATCGAAGGGATGGGGGGTTCCATGGGTCACCTCCGCATTTTGTTTAATGAAGGATGTTTTGGAGGTTTGGAAGGGATGGTTCATAGTCATTTTTGTCACTTGTTGAGATTACCAAGTATGTTTGTGGTAAAGATGAAGATAACAATTTGATTTTGGAGGGTTGAAGGGGCGATTCGATGGGTCCGGTGCCATGGGTGAAGACTTAGGGTTTATGGTGGCTGCCTCCCGTTGGACTTGAGAGTCACTTTTTGGGAGCCACCAAATGGGTGTGGCTCAAAATTAAAGAGCCAGGGTTACGCAGGTTTTAGTCTTTGGTTCCACTTGCCAAGGTATATCAAGGTTCGATTTTGGCACATGTTTTTGAGCCAAAGCCAAATGTGTTTCTTCAGGAGCTTTTTTTGGCCACTCGGGAAGTGAGGGGATGCAGCACAAAGAAAACGGGCGATCATGCCCCAGCACCCTACCAACCAAATTATCAAGGGAAGCCAAGAGATGCGCGGTTGCAACGAGTACCTTCTTCAAAAAACAGACACACACACAAACCACTACCCCACAAGCAATCATGATATATGTCCTTTGCATAGTTGCGCGCTCTCTCCCTCTCTCTCCCTCTACACATATCTTTAAATACTAATATATATATATATATATATAATTCATGTGTTTATTTATTTATTTATTTGTTTGTTTGTTTGTCTGTTTGTTTTATTATTTATGCTACCCAATTGTATATCCCACCACACCGGGGGCTTGGTTGAGTTGAAACCATTCGTCTGAGGCGAAGAACTGTGAGCTGCCGATCCCCTTTTGGTTCAACAAAAGCTACCCCGAGATCCCGCCCTTCAGCGGAAAGCTGCTGCTGCAGGCGCGGGGGGGGGGGGGTTTTGCTCAACAGGTCGTTTTTTCTCGGTCCAAGGCCATGCTTTCGATCTTTGGTTTCCCGTTCTTCAGTCCCACGGTGATCCCTTTGACTTCCAGGACCTTTGGGCGGTTGAGTCCCCACCAGAAAGCTACGGGGTACGCCCAGATAGGCGATAAGGGGCGGTTTGGAGCAGATTTCAGGAAATGTTCTGGAGGGTTCCAGACGGTTCCGGGGCTGCTGGGGATATCAACTGGGCTAATTTTTTCAAGAGGATGGTTCCAGAAAGCTTGGCTTGTTTGGGGTTTCCTCGAAGAAACCAAGGGTTCCCCAAAAACACGCACACGCATGTGAGCAGCCACGATGCGTGATGGTGCAATTGTCGGTGTGAGGAGGTCACGATGACATGGGGCCCCAGCCAGGATTTGAAAGCTCAGACCCCCACAAAGTCATTCTGTCCGGAATTCCACAAATGGGCTTTGCTGTTCCTTTAGTTTCTGATTTAATGCGAAGGTTGACTTGTTGTTCTTTTGCCACTCTTGGTCGGTTTTCCGTTCAGCCACCTTTTCATCAACCATACCCAAGACTTCTACAGGAGCTCCTGGGCTTGAAAAAAAGCCAATAAGATGTTAGCAATGGTGGGTAAGGACCCCATCTCCTCGGGGGAATCTCCCAGGGTTGGATTGGGTCTGGCAATAGTAAGATACTAAAGAAAATGAGCTCCACGCCTAGCTTTGAAATAGATGTGTCAAATAAATCCACCAAACTTCCGAAGCTCGCTCCCATGCCTGGATAACTCGTCTTTGTTGGAAAGGTTGAGACAACCCCGTGGTTTTCCTTTTTCGCACCCATGACAAAGGGGGTCACTGCAAGCGAGCGGCAGGTGCTGCCTCTGTCGGTGACCATGGCAGCAGTGGGCCTCCTGGAGTCCCTGATGACGCTGACGCTCCGAGAAACCTCGGGGGTCCGGAGGTGGGAAGCTGGCCCACCGCCAGGGAAATGGAGATCGGCTTGATGGATTTGGTGGGAATTTTGGACTGACATGGATCAACTGGTTGGATTTGCGCGGAAGTCCTACTGATTTTAGAGAGTTTCACTGCTATCGAAACTATTCGGGTGTGGCTTGACGGTTTCTTCGCCAATTTTTAGTTGTTTTTAGTTGGTTTAGTCGTAGGGTTTCCCAATTTAAGCCACTAAAAGTGAAACTGTTAGCAGGGAATCTGAGGACAGCCCAGTTTTCACTCATTTTGGGTACGTCTTTTTTCGTTTTTTTTTGAGGCCCGGTACCCCTTGTGTGGTGATTTTAAAGGGAAACCAGCAGACAAAACACAAATTTGAGGGTTCCCTATTTTGAGGCACGCCCATTTGGGTATGTGTGAGAAATATCAGGGAACGAAGCTTGCGTTTTGCTATTGGTTCCCTGTCAACAGAAGAAGTGTCAGTTCGAAAAAGACACCCACTGGTTTATTCTGGGGTAGACAAAATATGAAGAGTCTGAAACTATGATTTTCGGTGTGCCCTTTGTGGGCCAAGTCCAGAGATACTTGTTTCTTCGCATTTGTTGGAGGATTGTGGAGGTGTTTTTTCAGTGCCACCGAGGTTGGTTCCGTGGTCTTTCCCTAGTCTGCGGGAACACGCTTGCCTTTGTTTTAACAAATGGTGGGGCGTGTCTTAAAATATATAAGGTTCTTCCCAAAATCGGCTTCCGTTGGTTTCTCTTTGCACCAAATCCAAAAAATGGGCTCGGCTGCTCCTTCGGCCTTCAGAACCGAGGCTGCAAACTTGCTCGGGCCTCCCTCAGCTGGCCGGGCAAAGCTTTTGTTTGAACAGACCCTAAGCTCCTTGGGAAACCCAAAACGAGGTTGGCCGAGCCCGGGGGTTGTGGTGGATCACTCGGGGTTTATCCAAGCACTTCTGTGATATCTTGGCGGAATCTCCCCCTTTTGCTGGGGGGGTTTTGTCTTTGGGAAGCCCTTTTTGTTGTATCACAGAAGTGGTCACAGTTATTCTCCTGTCACAACATGGAGTTGAGTTTCTCACAACCCAATTAAACTTGTTGAAGCCCTTATACAACTTACAGCTTGTTGACCGCACACCGACGGACTCCGACAATGCGCTTGGCTGTGTGCACTGGCCCCCTCTTGTAAAAAATTGGGTTTGGCCCTTTTGAGCAGGCACCCTGAGAACGGACCGGGAAGGTGCAGTCGCCAATTCATGTCCAAAGAGCGGGGGTACCCAGTTCAGTGGCATCCTCTAAATCCGGTGTGAGTCTTCCATTTGCTTAAGAAACTGTTTTTTTTGATTTCCCCTGTTGGTTTTGAAGGGAAGCTATCACTACTGGAAGTTAATTTGGTGGGTTCCCCTTAAAAGATGGTCACCCCCTACAAAGGTTTCCTTTTTGTACCACTCAGCTGAGCAAGCAGGGCGCCGAGCTTGCTCCGCAGAAGGCCGATTCAGCTCCACACACCACACGAAAGAGGGCATGCTCTCCAACCTCTGACTCTCCTTTCACGATGAGCGTCCTTCTCGGATGTACAAACCACTTAGGTCATGACGGCAAGAGAACGAACCCCAGATCCCCCAGTCATATCCATGGAGTTAGAACCTGACAAGCCGGCAGGACTTCCAAGTTTCCACTTGTGCTTTGCTCGCGAATCGGATCGCCGCTTCGCGCGTCAAGCGAAATCGGTTTTAGAATGAGGAACCTCATTGACGAGATCACCTCCACCAAGGGCAACCCCACGAGAGAATGTCTTGGTCAAGGACATTGGCTTGCCAAAAGGCCGTTGTTGAAGAGATGCTTTGTTCATACGGAGGATCCATCTGGAGAAGTGTTTGAAGGACTCGCGAAAGGGTTCCTGTGGAACCCTGGCCATTTTTTCTTGGTACCCACTTTTTGGGCTGGATTCAAAGGGAAGGCAACAGGAAAGCTAGTCTCCCACCCTGAATTGGATTGACACAACTCGTTTTGGAAGATCGCTTTCGTCTTTGCTATTTCGAAGCGGATCTTTGGACTGGAAAACTTTTGGGGAAACAGCTCGGATTTTCCATTGGTCCCCTGAGCCGTGTTGATTTTTGTTCTTTGCCTTGGGGTCAACAGCAACTAGGCGCACGGAACTGGCATGGAACTGGCTTCATGGAGCCTTATCCAAAGAATCCAAAGGGTAGGACGGAGCATGTGCGGTGTTAGGCTTGGCTGCAGGGGATTTGGTACCTGAACAAGTTCCTTAAAATCCAAAATCTACATCCGTGCTTGGATGTTCAAGAGCATGGGGCACCAACCCCAGATCCAACCATGGCTATAAGCCACGAAGTGGGTTGGAGTTTCAACCTGATCTTCAAACATGCATGCGTCTGTTTTGAGGGGACCCCCCCTCCAAAAAAAGCAGTTGGTTTGCTTTTGGTTTCCCTTTAAAGCCACAAAAAAAGGTACCCTCGAGCAGTGTTGGTGATTGTTGTTTTTTTCCTGTTGTTTTTGATTTTTCCCCTGGACCAACTTGCCGTGACGATCGAATCTTTTGGAGCCCGAAGCTCGTTGGGAGAAACATGACCCTCCGCTCAGTAAGGCTCCGAGACTTTCCTGATAGCCGGGGGGTAGGTGCAAGGGAAGTAGTTGAGAGCCCTGTTGTTGGGGGAGCCCGTGTTTTTTAATTGCTTAGGGTTGGCTCCGACCGATCGGCTTCGGCTCCGAGTGCAAGGGTCCAATAGTCCGAAATGCACAAGGGTCCACATGGTGCGAAGGGTCCAGAAAGTTCCGAATGCTACAATAGCTCAAGAGTCCGCAGGGGTACAAGGGCCCAAGGATCCGAAAGGCACGAGGGTCCAACGGTCCGAGAAGCCAGGTTTCTCTTTGCGTCAGTGGAATGGTGCAGGGCTCTAGGGAGCGAGGCTTCGCAGGGCACCCGCAACCCAACGAAAAGCTCGCTTAACCATCCCCTCAATTAGACAGTGAACTTCCCCCGCATATGACGCCAAACAGCAGCCAACGGGCGGCGGTTCCGGCCAAAGAGGCCTCGGCAGGGTTTGGGAGGAGCCACAGGCGCGCTGGTCTAAGAGTCTAAAGGCAAACAAGGGTCTAAAGGCAAACCAGGGTCTAAAGGGTCTAGAAGTAAACCAGGGTCTAAAGGGTCTAAAGGCAAACCAGGGTCTACCCTCAGAAATGACCGTACTCAGAAATGACTCTTCGCTAGAGCTTTTGTTGGGACGCGGTTGGGCTTTCAATACTTCTAAGTGGACGCTGCAGCGCCCCTTCGGGGACAGCTCTGTTTCTGGGCCCACACGCTGGCAGACTTGCAGGGCTGGAGAGTTATGGGGAGCCTATATTGCCAGCCTCGACATGTTTTCCAAGGAACGGTCATCCAGGCAAGGGGGTCTCCACGGGCTCCAGGGTCAAAGCTCCAAATATCGAAGAAGTCAAGATGTGCAAAAGGGTCCAGGAGCAAAAAACGTAAGATTCCAAAAGAGTCCAAAGATCCTTCCCTGGAAGGCCCAAGCTTCCAAGGCTTAGCAGGCTGAGGCCGTCCCAATCTTCCAGGTGTTCAGGGCGCAAAGGGTCCAGACAATCAAAAACAACAAGGGTCCAAGCTTCAAGGGTCCAAACAGGCAAGCCTCTAACATTCCATCACAGCCTGGTCCAAACTTCGACAGGGTCCACGTTCGAAGGGTCCAAAAAGCATACGGCCTCAATCACCGAAAGCAAAGCAGCGAAGGGGAACGCCGGGCCCAGGCTCCAAGTGTGGTCCGAATATCCCAAGAGTCAACAATATTTTACTTCGAGCAATCCGCACCCTCCCAACAAGTCATGTGTTGTTGACTTCTTTTTTCGGAATCACTCTTTCGGGGGCACTCTTTCAGGATCACGTCGGGATCACCAGGGTCTAAACGAGAGTAACGGTAAACCAAGGCTGTCAGGTAGGAGGGTCTGAGAGACGCTGTCTGTTGGGGGTCAGGGAGCTTGCGCGTCTGCGGAATGGTCCAAGGCTCCAGGGAGCGAGGCTTCACAGCACACCCGCAACCCAACAACAAACTCACCCAACCACCCCCTGAATTAGACAATGAACTTCCCCCGCATGCGCCAAACAGTAGCCAAGTTCAGAAAAGTCAGATCACACGGGCGGCGGCTCCGGCCAAAGAGTCGGCAGGGTTTGGGAGGAGCCACAAGCGTAGTGCGGCTTATCAATCAAAAAAGGTTCCAACTCAAAGGGGGCCGAACCCTAAAGGGGTCCAACCGTAAAGACATTCAAGCCAACAATGGGTCCAAGCACCGTAAAATTCTAAAAAACTCTGGGCTACTTATTTGCCCTGTCAGTACGGACCTGCGCTAGGTGAGACATGGCTCCAAGCCAAGACTCACCTAGCGCAGGTCCCTACTGACAGGGGAAGCTTGAGTGGCCCAGGTTCCTGATGTTTCCCGGCGGTACAAACCCCTTGGCTTAAACACAAACTTATTAGCAATGTTTTAACAATTGTTACATATACGTTTGGTAAATTTCGGTAATTTCTTTGTATAGTTTACGTAAATTTTGGAAAGCTTCGGTTATTGAGCCTAGTGAGCCCAGGTAGTTTCTGTTTGCTTTTTTTTTCCCGGTAGGGCGTGGCGGGGAAGGTGGGCTGGGCGCGGGAGGCAGCTGGCGGGCGCAGCAAGCGAGGGCGCGGGCCGGGGGCGCAGGCAAGCGGGAGTTATGGGATTCCAAGGTTGAACTGCCACAAGAATTGGGGAGTCACTTCGGCCTAATTGTTTGTCATGTCCAGCTTGAAGCCACACCCCGCGAAATTGCAGGAGCTGGAGGATTGACTCAAGGCCACCAATACGACTTGCAGCCTCCAGATAAGTGGTTCTAGCGAACGCCGGCCGCGTCTAATCAGAGCGCTTGAGCAAAAGGCGTGCGCAAGACTGATGGGGGGGGGGGGGGTTGGGGCTGGGTGTTTTGCTGGTGGTTTCAGGAAAGTCCCGTTTTTCGCAGCCAGCCGTGCGGCTCCAGGTCAAGTATCTTGAGCCCTTTTTTCGATTCAGCGTCTTTAGAGGGTTGGGCGCCTTCGGGGTTGGGCCCCTTTAGAGTTGGATCACGGGAGCCCGTGCTTTGCGGGAGCGATCGGTCCAAGAGGGTCCAAGGGCTTCTGTTTCTGAGGGCCCTTCCCCGAGGCTAGGCCTGTGGCTAGGGCTGAGCAGAAATGTAGCGTGCTTGCGCATTGCAGCGTTCCCTAATCATGGATCCCTAACGTCAGGAGGTAAGCTGTCCTCACAGTCACAAGGGTACAAGACGGCTCTCCCCTTTGTGCCTGGACCACTTTTGTACGGTTGGTGCCTGTACGGTTGGGCCATCCAGGCACCAGGCTCAAAGGCAACTGAGAAAGTTTCAAGAGTCTAAGGGGCGCGAGACAGGTCAGGTCCAAAAAGGCTTTTATTGCTCGAAGACATCAACTGCGTCCAGCTGAGCGTTTTTTTTTAAAAAAAAAGCTTTACAAATTGTCCTTGGATCTCCAGAAGCCAAAAGGGTTTAGGGACCCAAGAGTCCAGACAATAGCGACAGGCTCAAGGGCTCGAAAAATCAAAAAAGGATCCAACTCAGCAGCACAATTTTACAGCCTCAGGTACCTGTTCCTTGTTTTTTCTGGGTTTGGAGTGCAGGCGCTTTTGCTGAAGAAGCAAAAGAAGAGACCAGCGCCAGAGGACGCCCGGTTTATCTTGCTTCACCGAAGATCTGTCAGATTTTCACGGGGACAAGCTAGATGTTTCCGGTATAGCGACGAAGTGACACCGGGGAACGCTATGAGACACTGCAACGAGGAAAGCTCCAATGTGTGTACTGGTCTCTGAAACAACATGATACCCTTCTTTCCTCTGAAAGACATTGGTTCTTGCTTGGGGTGTGCCGAAGTGAAATTGTGAGACGCATCAAAGGCAGAATGTCTTCTTACATCAGAATGTGTATGGGGAGCAGCTTTACACGCCGCACGATGCGAGACAGGGGCTTTTCGTGACACTGGCTTCGGGTGATCGGGCACTGTTTTTCTTACGGATCTCCATCATTGTTGCAGATGCTGCAGCACTACGTGATATGTATGATTTCAAAGGTGCAAGTGGCACCTTATTGTGCCCGTTGTGCCGCAACGTGGTCGATGTTAAAAGCACTTGGATTCCCACGATGAAACTGAGAGCATTCTGCCTTCGACTCTGTTGGACCCGAGCCAGTCTCAGCCGCACACTGACGACTCGATCCGTGACGTGCTTCGCTTTCTAGCAGCTGAGCGTCCCCGGTGCTCTCGGGCAGCTTTCAGCTTGAAGGAGCAGTTGGTGGGATTCAACCACAACCCCGATGGCCTTTTAGGCAGTGAGCTACTCAACATCCCAGTTGTCAGCACTCTCACGCATGACTGGATGCATTTGTATTGTGTGTCTGGCATATGGAACGTGGAGACAGGGTTATTGGTGGAGTGTTTGGCGAGCAGTGATTTCTCAGAAGGATCTTCACCTCGAACTACAGGCGTTCGTTTGGCCTTCATGGATATCTTCGAAATCGATGACGGGGAAAAACATGTTCAAAAAAAACAGACAGGGGATATTTCCTGTTCTGCCTCAGAGGCGTTGTCCGTCTTCCAGGTTCTGAGGTTTATTTTGTGCCAAAAGCACCGGAACAACGAACTCAATGATATGCTTCCTGCTTTCCGGTCCTATATGGATTTGTGCCGAGTGCTTGATGTCTTACAAGACCTGAGAAGGGGGACGACCCCGGCAGCAGTTCTCCAAGACGTTATTTTGAGGCATTTTCAGAGCTTTCGAAACGCATATGGGGTGGATCGCTGGCGACCCAAACATCATTACACACTGCACCTAGCTCGGATGCATTCTCGACACCAGGGTTTGATTCCGTGCTACGTCCACGAGAGGAAGCATCGCGAGGCCAAGAGATATGCCACTGCAAACACGAATACTTGGCGCGGGTTTGAGAAGTCAATCATACGTGACATGCTCCGACCTCAACTCGAAGACCTCGATGGGAAATCAAGTGAGCCAGTCGAAGGCCTTGTGAACCCCTCTGATGCTACTTTCCACATGGAGGCTATCCTTCGCTCTGCAACTGGGTTGTTTGGTTCGGTCAAAGTGGCCAAGGAAGCAATGTTTGCCCCAGGTGCTAGATGTTCTTCAGGCGACACTGTTCTTTTGAAGCTGGATGGCACCATGCACGTGGGCAAAGTTCAGGTGCACTCGAATGTGTCAGGACGGGACTTTTCGTGTGTTGAAATGTGGCGCCCCATGGGCCAGAACATGTTTGAACCCTTAAAGGGAATCAAAGTCCTACCCCTGACGTGTATCCAGGATGCATGTGTGTATACCATTCAGCGGGGTGGCCGAATTGCAGTGGTTCCGTCGACTTGCTGGCAGGTGTGAAAAAAGGGCAATTGACTTTTCCCCATCCCAACCCATTTATACAAATATATAACCTATATAACCTTGTAGGGTGCACTTGAAATCATGTTCCCAGCAAAAGTGCCTTGGCAGGGATAATAGAAACTTTCATACTTCTTGCAACTCACTTTGGGTGGTTTCAGCAAACGTGATGTGTATAAAATTGAAGACCTCTTTGCCCCCTCCGCTCGACAAGAAAATGCAAATATATGTCCTTTCATTTGGCTTATTTGGTCGGCCAAATTCACGGTGCAAACCATAATCCGCTGAACATGGGGCTGGTCCCGGCCAAGAATGTTCCATTGACAATGAGCCATAGCAAAAAAAACACCTGTTTCCCCATCTATCCAGGATTCAATTTGTAAGTCTTAAGACCTTACATACGCCCTCATTAACATGGCATGATGGCTTTTCCTTAATGAAGTTCGAGCGTTTTCCATACAAATGTAGTGCCCTCAGATCTATTCTGCTTAAAAGAGGAAACAACAGAAGCATAGAACCCCAAACTCTTTTTTTGTTAAACAAAATATATGTGTTCCCTATATGAACTCCCAACCCAGCTCACCCCGACCCCCAGCTGCTCTCCTCGGCCCGTGCTCCGGCCGCAGGCGGCCCAGTGGCAGCCAGAGCAGGCAACAGCCCGCCAGCGCGGGCGAATTCGGGGGTTTTGGGGGGGGGGGGTGAAACCGGGGGTAGCGTTGTTTTTGGTTACTGGGATTCCATGTTTCTCCCATGCATAAATATGTACTCCCTAAACGCATATTTACACACATATACACTCAGAACCATGTATACTTGCATAAGGAGCTTCTGTTGACCACCCTTAGGCTGACAGTTTCCTTGTCAAACCACACTATATACATACACACTCCCTAAACGCATATTTACACATATCAGGCACTCAGAACCACCAAACTTACATAAGGAACTTATGTTGAAACCCCCTTATGCTGACAGTTTCCTTGTCAAACCACGCTATCCAAAAGTTGTTCAGGCCACATGCGCATGTCATTCAAATAACATGCCTCTACGTGTTGGAGAGGGGTATGAGTTTCACACCATTGGTTTTCAACATAATGCACCAGGAGCTAGGATGAGGTATCTATGCAACATTCGTGCGTCTTCAGCCTATGACGTCGCTGTGTTTGCATGTGCACGTAGTTGGTTTTCCAACTTCCCCCATGCGTCTGTCAAACTTTGACTTGGGGCTATAAGCGGTCGTTGCCAACCAGGCACTTTAAATTTTCAGGGGTCGCTAACATGTGAGACTTCCTTTTTTACTGGAGCCCCTTCGTTTTCTTTGAGTAAGCCCTGTATAAAAAGACGAAACCCCCTTGCCAAATAGCACTTGGCCAACTTAGTAACTTGTTTTTTTCTGACTGCTAAGTTCGCCAAATTGCACTTGGCGAACGCCGTACGTGCATTCTGTAAGTATGTTGGCTGACTTACTGTAAGTCAGCCATGTGTCTTACATAAGTGTGACAACCAAGCCAAGTACTTAGCAACCCCGCCGGTCACCCAAGTACCCGCTCAAGCATTGGCAACAGGAGCCGAGAGACAAGGGCGACAAGGATGGCCAGGCGAGGTTCTTCAAAAGCTCCCAGTGGGTGCAATGAAAAAGCGTTGGCTGTCCCAATCTCAATTGTTCGGTTTGAGGTAACCACATTGGAACTCCCAAATAGGCTGGCCGGAATAGGCTACAAGGGTCCGAGCACTGAATATATCCATGGCAACAGGGCTCCAAACATCGACTGGGTCAAGGGTTCCAGGGTCCAAGTGTCCGTAGACTCCAAAGGTGCCTAAATCATGAAGGAAGTCCGAATCTTTAAAGGGTCCAGGGTGCAAGGCTCAGAGCGTATAATAAAATCTTTGAAGCCAATACCCAGCAACACAATGTCCACAGCCTCGGGTACCTGAAAGGGTCCAAAGGGTCTCAAGGGTTCCATGGGTCTAAAGGGTCTAAATGGCATAAAGTGTCCAAAGCATCAAAATGTTCTAAAGGGTCCAAAGGGTCTAAAGGGTCTAACCAGCTTGGCCTTCTGTTGCATGCGCGTTTAGAAGTTTGGAACCTTGCAGGGTTGGAAAGGGCTCCTCGTGCCCCCCTCAGATGGGAGATTCTCGTGTTGTAATTTCTGGTCCATGCCTAAATCCCGCATGAAAGTCCGGGTTGGGCGCAAGGGTCCGAATGCGACAGCAACCCAGCCGTGTAGCTGTCCGAGGGCTCAGCGGGGTTTTTCCTGCCGGGAAATCAGAAACATGCAGATTTCCTATGTATGGCTGCCTAAGTTTCTTCGATGTCTAAATACAGTGTCCCAAGGGTATAAAGGATCATTTGAAGGGTCTCAAGGGTCCGAAGGGTCTCAAGGGAAATTTCAATGGTTTACAGGGTCTTCAGGTCTAAAGTTTTTTGCAGATTGCTTCAAGCTGCAAGCAGGGCAGTTCTTGACACGTCGCAGATTTGAGGCCCCCGTCGAAAAAAGCAAAGCCGCCTATCCGCCAGGAGCTTTTGGATGACTCCCTTGCTCCCTGCACCCTTGCGGAGCCTCGCTTCCTGGCGACCTTTCAGGCAGCGTCTGTTTGACTTTGTTGGATTTTTTTGAAAACCTCAAAACAGCGTATACTTCCTTGCAAGCTTGCGACTATCATTGTGGCATCCCCCTTTGCCTTTGAAAGAAGCTGTTTGTCACACCCCCCTGCCTCAATTCCTTCTTAGACTCCAGTGAACGGGTTGACCCTTGGCTACCTTGGATCGTTGCACTTTTGGCCGTTGGACCCTTGGATCAGTTCACCATTGGGCTCTATGGGGTCCTGGAGTTGCCCTTGAGAGGGGGCCTGCCTCAAGTCGTTCTTAGACTCCAGAGAGCGGGTTTACCCTTGGATGGGTTGGGACGTTTGTGTTCAAAGGTTGAAGCTTGGAAGGTTGCCAGGTCTGGGATGGATTAAACTTGGCCTGGGATGGGTTGGACCATTGGACCCTTGAATCAGTTCACCATTGGGCTCTTGAACCCCGACCATCTTTGTTGGTGTTTGCACCCTTTCGTGGTTCCTTGACATTAGCAGATCCCAGATCCAAGGCCCCATAGATCAAGTGCCTGCTTGGGCTCGACAGCCCAATGGTGAGCTGATGGAAGGGTCCGATTGTTCGGGGTTCTGTCAAGGGCAGGCCTATCCTAAAAAAGAGCCAACCCTAAGGAATAGCCAACCTTAAACCATTAAAAAACACCGCCTTTTTTTTGGGGGGGTTCTTTAGGGTTTAGGGGTTGGGTTAGGGAACCCCCCCCCCCCAAAGCGCTTGCAAGGGATTTCTACAGGACTGGCCAACCTGATCTGTGGTGCCTTTGGTGGGATGGGCGGCTGCGCAATGATCGGACAGTCCATGATTAACATCGGCTCCGGCGCGCGATCACGGCTCTCATCCCTGACGGCAGGCGCGCTTGGTTTGACTCGGTGGGTGTGACGGGGTGTGTTTTTGTTGAGAGTGCCCCTTGCTGCTTGTCAGCTTCCCTCTCATTGGTGCATTGGTTTGGAAGATGGCTTTAGTCTGTATGGCTAGTTGGTATCGGATCTTTGGACTTTAACCTTTTGGTTGAAACAGCTCGGATTTTCCATTGGATCCACTGAAAGTTAAACTTCTTGCAGAGGGGTCAACAGCAACCAAGACTAGGTGTGGCTGTGGGTTGTTTTTAGTGTACCCCCGTTTTTTGGATTTGTGAGCGGAACCAACAGGAAGCCGACCATTTGAAGGGTCCCGTATTTTAACACAACCCGTCTCCTTTCTGGTTTCTGCTTGGGTGAAAAGAAGAGCTCACATATTCAATTGCTGCCTCACTGGAGCTATGCTTGGTTGAAGCTAGATGGACATAATATCTCAGTTTGATCTTAATCCTTTGCGTGCCATGTATTTTCCCGCAAGGACACCTAGGGATGCCAGTTCCCCATCAAGTTCCACCTGCTTGTTCGTTGTTGCATGTGCGCGTGTTGTGTGTTGTGACAAACCAAAGAATCCAACTAAGCCTGTATGCCCTTTCGGTGCTGTGCGACAAACAATCCAGGTCAGGGCTTGACCTGGGATCAAGCCCTTGCGAACCAGAGAGGGCGTGTTTCGGGAAGTTGTGAGCCAATCGAAGGGTTGCCCTCTTTGGTGCGAGAATTTTGATAGGGGCCCCTTTAGTGGACATCAATTTAAGGTGGGCATCCATGTGCACTAGGCACTTTGGAGGTGCTTCCCCATTGAGATTCGTAGCTTTTAATCGTGCTCCAAGTGGGTGTGGCTCAAAAGTTTTCAGATCCAGGGCAAACCGCAGGTTTTAGTCTTTAGTTCCATGTATCAAGGTGCCATGCTGGGGCCACCCGATTTTGACCCACAGCCATTTGAACATGCTCCGAATCACTCGAGCCCATGAGGCGACGAATGACTCATTGTGAAAGGCGGAACAGACTATGGGCTGTCTCACGGCGCTTTTGACCCACAGCCACATGATGTATTTTTTTTTTGGGGGGGTCCGGAATCAAGAAGTTCCAGCTTGTGACCTGGCAACCGTTGCATGGTTGGAACGGTCGTTGTGCATGTCTTATCGGGCAGTCCCCCAAGCATTGCCTCAATACCCCTTTCTTTCGAGAACCTTTAAAATAAAAGGTTCTTGGAGTGGAGGGTGGATGTGCCTCAACACAGGGGAACCCTCAAAATGGTTGGTTTCCTTTCGCTTTCCTTTTGAGGCAACCCAAAAAGGGCACCCTCAAAAAAAGACCACATTCAGAAACATGCCATGATTCCTATCACAGCCTTTGAACTGGGTGGGGCATTCAAAACGCTTGTTGAGCGCGTTGTTGACCTGGCAAAGATATCCTCGCAATTTTCAGGGGAAGCCCGTGCATGTTGGGAAGAAGGATATTGTCCGTGGCTCACATGTTCAGGCCAGTTGGCTAAATATTGCTCACATGCATATAAGTTGAAGGAGACAATTTTGTTGGAAGAAACTCCCATTGTAGGTTCTGTCCAAGCGGGTCCTGAATGAAAATCACACCCATGTGGATTGTCTTTTATCTCATCCTGCCGCGCCACTCACTTCCTTTGCTGTGCTTTGGGTGCGGCAAAAACGCGTGAGAATGATGGTGCAGGATTCACCTGTTGACCTGTGGGACATATAGATAAACAGGTAAACTTCGGATGCCGATGGGTCAAAAGGAAGAGAATTCCTCCCCAAATTGATGGTTTTCCCTTGGTCCTACAAAGGGTATCATCAAAAAAGAGGCCTTTGTTTCCCTATGAAAACGCACCATCCAAAACGGGACCCTATTTCATAGCCATGCCCAAGAAGGGTGCAATCAACAGTGCCATCAAAAACTGGACACATCATGGTTGGGACAGGTTGGGAGGTGGTTTCTAGCCGTCCGGCTCAATTGGTTCTTAGCTTCTTTGGGTTTAGTGGTAGTTTCCACTGAAGGACAACATGTTTTCGACTTTTAGCGGATAAGCCCAGCCAAGAGGAATCGGTCAGAGTTCGATCGCAGGCCTTTTCCTGCTGGTCATTGTGCTAGTGGCGTACCCGGGGATCAAGCAGCGCCCAGTCAAACATGGACCCGGACATGTCATCCCCATTTGTTGTTCCCCCTTTACAGCGGTAGATATTGTCCATTGCTAATATGGAAGCTTTTCAACATGGCCTATGCCCCCCTCGCCCCCCTCGCCCCCCCCTTTTTGGTTGGTATTTGAAGGGAAAACAAAAGCCATTGTAGGGCGGCGATTCCTCTTGCCGAATACCCGAGCATGTGCAACTAGTTTCCAGTAATTATTTTGTTCCAAAGGGTCCCTGGTCACTATGTGCCATTTTCAGCCAATTTAAACAGGGGTGTGTCTTTTTTGAGAAACACAGTTTTCGTAGTTTTCAACGGGAAACCACCGGCAAAACACAATTTTGGACGGTCCCCGAAAAAAAGACACACCCACATCACGCTTTGGTTGCCAGTTCTTATAATATATATATATATATATGTAAACATCCAATGCAAGTGACTTTTAAAACAAACAAAAGCACGATTCTGACCATGAGTACTAGGAGTTTTGATGGCACGTGGGCACCACAGTTGGTCGAAGGGCACAAACCCTTTAGTTGGATAGGAAAGCAACCAAAGGGGCTTCATTTGAGTCACCAACTTGGGATGTTTAGAGTAGTCTCTTTGTGGCCATTTGTTCACGGATCTTTGGACCTGAACTTTTCGGATGAAACAGCTCGGAATTTCCGGTTTGGACCCACCAAAAGTTGAAAGCCTTTTGCAGAGGGGTCGTTACAGCACCCTATGTCTTGTAAGAGGTTCTTCAGGAAACCGTGGCCATTGCCCAGGAGTTTTGCCATGAGCCAAACCCTGCTGATTCGTTCATTTGGTTCCCAAACGAACAAATCAAGTGAGTGCCAGCCTCAGATCGGCGGGTTGTGGGTACCCCCTACACCCAATACCCACTTTTATCAGGGTATCATGTCGTCCCTCTGCTAAAAAAGGAGGTATTTACCTTGGAAAACCAGGTTTTCCCAAAAGTACCCTGAAAAAAGCGGGTATTTGCTGTAGGGGGTAGGCATCCATAGGACCAGAACCCTTTGTCAGCCCAAGCCCCGTTTGGCCAATCGGACTGAGCAAGTTTTGCTGAGGCACCGAAAGCCGAAAGGAACCCAACTTCTGGGTTCCTGATTCCTGAATTCATGGGACTTTAAGCTGTTTGGTTTTGGACCTTTTTGAGTGGCAAACATTTGCTTTATAACACTACACCTTCTGGGGAATTGCCCCATTCCGTGCGGTTTCCCGAAAAAGCCGAAGGCTATGCTGGACCAACTTGGGCTTTGGCTCCAGTTTTTTACAAACAATGTGGCCAAGCTTTGAGTGGCAACCAGCTGTTTGGACCTTTTTTAGTGGCAAACAACAAGTTTGGGCACTTGTTTTGGCAAGTCCTTTCGATCGGATCGGAAGCGAGACAAGCCCAAAGCCCATCCCGGTGGAAAGGAAGTGAAGGCTGTGCCTTTTTTTGAGGATACCCGGTTTTGGGGCGGTTTCTTAGAAAGCCGAAAGGAGAACCTGCTTCTTCTTCTTCTTTTTCTTCTTTTTTTGGGGGGGTCTCTATTTGGACACACTCCGAAAACTATCCGCGGAGCCGAGCAAGATTTCCAAGAACCCCCCTTTGGTTGGGTGTTTGTTGGGCTTCCTTCCAAACGTGGGGTTGTAACCCAAACTTATCAAAGGCTTTTTGCGTTCTGAACAAGTCTTTCTTAGCGCTTTGTTTCCAAAAGTCCGCCAACCTGGCCCAATCGATTTGGCGGCGCGTGACAAATGCATCCGCCTGAAGCGGGCGAACACTTTATGCGAGTTAACGTGCAATTGTCCAAACCACCTGATATGTCTGGTTTAAGGACGGGATGGCCCTTCATTGCACTTGGCTTCACCAACAGTTGGGCTCGCGGTTCGCAAATGAGCGTGTCCCAAAACAGGGGAACCCCTAAAATTCTTGCTGGTGCTCAGCAGGGAATGAGAACTGGAATGACCCCGAGATAAACCATCCCTTGCGGTTTCCTTTAAGGGAATCCCCAGGTCCATTCCCTTGTTCCCGACCCATCGCAGCAAGAATTGGCGTTTCCTCCTTGGTTTCCCTTGAAACCAAACCGAAAAGGGACCAACTCAAGAAAAGACAAGACCCGCCCTTTCTGGGCTTCTCCGCATTTGGTAGTTCTCAAAACCAGAGGCCCATTCAGTTTTGTAGTTTCCTTTCCGATTCTCCTCAAAACAATCCAAAAAAAGGGCCTGCACCCTAACACTACCCATAAAAAAAGGGATTTAACCCCGCAATTTTGGGGTAAGCACCCATAATTTAAAGGAATTTGGAGGGTCCAGGAACCATTTTGAGAAACATCTGGGGTGATCGGATCGTTTTCAGCTAGGATCCCTGTCTCAGCTTTGGTGGGGGTGATGTTCAACGTCTGCTACCACACCTTCGAGTGGAGCTCCTTGCGGCTCATGTGCCTGGCAGCACTGCCCCTGAGGCAGGCGCGGGGCCCGCGCGCCATGGGTCAAACGAATGGATTCGGACGGAGCCTCAAAATCGGGGAGCCTCCAGGGTATGGATTTGGAACAATCCTTTAAAATTGACTTCGGGGGACTTTGGCTTTCCTCTTAGTTTCCCTTTGGCCGACCCGAAAAGGGTAGCCACGCGTGCTCTTTGCCCAGTTGAACGCGCGAGATATTGCAAAGCACCTAGAAACGCCTACAGACAGCTGCAAAAAACCCACAAATATGGCTGTGGTTGTCAAAACTGTTTTGGGATCCCATTTTGGTTGGTAGGTGAATTCACCACCCATTTTAGAACATATTGTCGTGGGGATTGGTTGATGTTCACGGGGGGTACGGGCTTTGGATTTTGAAAAGAACATGGCCATATGAGTTTGTCTCAAAATGGGATTCGGGACCCCCACAGTGGCTTCGGCTTTGCCGTGAGAAAACTCCACCCGACCAGGGTTACCCCAAGAAGAAACGACACCCCCCAAAATACTTTGGCTAAAGCCAAGAAAAGAAGGTACGCGGCAAGCCGTCAACATGTGCTTTCCAAGTGACGTTGTTAGCTGTAGGCAGGACTAGATAAGGCGTGCGGCTACGTGTATATATTAATTGTATATATATATAGCGGAATGCATGTTCCTGACCATGCAGCCCACTGCTATCCTTGAATGCACATATTTTGCGCGTTTGGCAAAGGATTGAACACTGATTATGCGACAACTGTCCCGATGTGTACCCGTGCGTTTGACTATTTTCATACATTGTTGCGGGAGCCGCTTGTCTTACCTGCTAGGCTGAATTCCTCTATGCAAAAATAGTTTGCCGAAACATGGAGCATGCAAGGTCTCTCTAAAGACAATTGTTGCGCTTATGTGCACAGCAATGCTTCTACGTCAGGCAGCCATTTTGCAATTTGAGCATTGGCGAGTTTAGGCAATTGGATGACACATGCTGCCCCACGTATTCCCAGGAGAAACATAACAGCATGAAAGCTTCCAAAGGTAGAAGTTTGATAAAGTGCGACATACAACCTCTAGCCATCTTGTTCCAGGGATCACTTAGCATCACTCAGGATTTTGGAAGTATTTGGGGCCAGGCGCAAAATATAGCCTTTGGGCCAAAATATAGTCTAGCTACCTTGACCATACTTTTTAAGGTCTTTGGAAGGCTAGGGTTTTCCTTTTGGTCCCCCAAAGGAAGAGAGACCCCGCAAACATCTGCCAAAAACGCAACCCCGCCCCCTTCCCAAATATCTGGCAACAAAAGCAACCCCTCCCTCCCCTTCCCACCCCCCAAACAAAAACAAGATTGCTTTCCTTTGGCCCCCCCAAATATCGGTCCCCCGATGCCAAAAGATGGCTCCTTCGGTCCCCCAGGTTGTGGGTGGTGGGTCGAGTAGGTGGCGCCAGCGTTGCTTCAGCACCAAAACCTCGGCCCAGCAGATCCGCCGCACCGAGCCTCGGGCGAAGCGGATTTTTTTCGTTCCGTGTCCGTTTTTCTGTTTAGGTTTTTGGTTTTGTTGTTTTTCTTCTTCGTTTTGTGGCTTGCCTTTTTTCAGTTTTAGGTGTTGTTGTTGTTTTTGCTTTGTGGCTTGCTTGTTTTTTGTTATTTGTTGTTTTTGTTTCGTGTCTCTTTTTTTTTTTTTGGGGGGGGGGGGGGCGGCGGGATTCAGGTTGCCCTGTTTGTGTGGTTTCTTTTTGTTGGGGGGGGGAAGATGAGTTTCAGATAGTTTTAGGTTGCCAACTCACTTTGTGGTCCCACATTTCACGACCCAAGAACATCTGAAAAGGGTAACGCAGGCCAACAGCCCAGTTTAACCTAGGTATTTGGATTATTTGGGTTTGATGGTTTCGACTCGCGAGTCGTGATTTAATCCTGGCGTATAGAGGGTAAGCCCCACAAATCCAAGCCACCAAATAGCCAAATAGGGGGAAGCTGAGAGCCCTAAGTATTGCAAAGGGAACAATCGTACCCCAAATCACTTGAACTGTCCCTTGTGTGGTGGAGTTTTGGTTACAACATTTAGCATCTCTGGGCCTCTCTGTATGAGCAATGAGCAACGCAAAATCTCCAATCGGCTTTCGGTGGTTCCATCTGGGTTTTGCGGGTTTGGTTGGTGTCAGTTTTGGATGCTCCCATTGGTGTGTGGTCGTACTGCTGCGTAGTCAGATGGGTGAACTTGGATTTAGCCCCCTTTCGTGGACATCAGAAATACATTGGGATGCTTCTGTGAGCCAACCATTTTGACGCGGCTCATGAAGATTTCTAGCCATACTTCCCTTGGATGGTGGTTTTAAACATCACTTTTTGGAAAAGCCAAATTGAAAGTGATTGTCCTTCAGGCAATGAGAGCCATAGAGAGCCCTGTGACTCGAAAGAGCCGATGTTTGGCTATGTGAAAAGGCGAATCGGGATGCGAGTGTTATTCCAGTAACATGTACTGTTACCCTGCTCCGAGTCCCTTCCCCCTCCCACATGCAAGAAACTTGCAGAACAAAATGCGAACGGGCGGACTATTTCAGTGGCTTTCCATATCTGGGGCAATGGGGTGAATCTAAAAACCATCTGCAGAAGATGCTATGTTTCTGGCGGTGATTCGGCGAATCTGGGTGGAATGTGCTTTCCTACCGCACCACTCCTGCATCTCAAAAGAAGTCGTTTGTCCTGCATGATGTTCTCCATGCAGGCAACTCCTGGTGGTTTCTTGGAGTCACTCCGAGGACGCTTTGGTGATTCTTCTGGTCACCCTGGTGACACTCTTCACGGATCTCGCCACGGCGGTGGCCGTCGGCATGATCTTCTCGCTGCGGCGTGGCCGGAATGTTGTCCTCAAATCCCTTCCATTTGCTGAAAAGAAGCTCAAGGGTTCCCTGCATCTCCGCCTCGAAGAAGGTATCAGGATTTTTTTGGGTATTTGGGCGTGGCTTGTCTTATCTTGTCCTTTTTTTGGAGTCCCACTCTTGGTGGTGCTAAAGGGAAACCAAAAGGAACACCGAAGTCATTTTGGGGAACGTCTCTGAAACAAGACATACGTACCCATATATGCGTGTTTGTTATTTTCCCCTGTTGGTTTTTAAAGGGAGTCGAATTCACCACTGGACATATGTTTGCATTTGTTCCAGGGGACGTATCCGTGAATAGAGGTAACAGTTTGGCTTTTAGTGCGATAAGTTCGGAAACCCAACCACTAAACCAACTAAAAGGCCAAACCAGTGAGGGAATGGCTGGGAAGCACCAAGTCATGGAGTCGGTACGTTACGGGGTGGGTAGTTGAGAGCCCAAACTCGGGTTCCTTAGGGCCGCTTTGGGAGGCTTAGGGAACCCCCCCTGCTTGGATCCCCCCTTCTGAGAGATTTCACAATAACGTTTTTGCGTTAGAGCCACATTGGCATTTCTTTGGTGAGCTCATTTGGGGATAAACCAAGCTTGATCGCCTTGAGCATACGGTGCAGAGTGTTGATAAGGCTCAGGCGTTTGGAGGCTTCAGATCATCATGCATGTGTGGCTAAAGGTTAAAGAGCTGGGGTTACGCAGCCCCAGGGTTTAACCCCAATATCAAAAGAAAGATTGGCCCAATTTAGATGATGGCACATCCTTAGGTACACAACGGTGGCCACATCAACCCTTTTTTTCAGCGGTGGTTTGACCCCAAAACCAAGTTTTAGTCTTTGGTTCCATTCACGCAGGTGCCATTTCTGTACATGTCTTTGTGCCGCAGGCATGTCACGTAGAAATTGGCAACCCAACAAGGTTGCCAAGCCCGGAGTCCCTCTTGCGAACCTAGCAATCTTATGGCATTCCTCAGGAGTCAATACACACCATACTCCACATCAAATGAACACAGAACCCTAAAAAGGGGGTTTGCTCGGCTTCGCTTGCACGTGTGTGTGTGTGTGTGTGTCGTGCGTGGGTGTGGGTGTGCGTGTGCGTGTGCGTGTGCGTGTGGGTGTGCGTGTGCGTGTGCGTGTGCGTGTGTTTGTGCTTGTGCGTGTGCGTGTGCGTGTGCGTGGGCGTGGGCGTGGGCGTGGGCGTCGGCGTGCGTGTGCGTGTGCTTGTGCGTGTGCGTGTGGGTGTGGGTGTGGGTGTGCGTGTGCGTGTGCGTGTGCGTGTGCGTGTGCGTGTGCGTGTGGGTGTGGGTGTGTGTGCGTGTGCGCGTGCGTGCGTGCGTGCGTGCGTGCGTGCGTGCGTGCGTGCGTGCGTGCGTGGGTGCGTGGGTGGGTGGGTGTGTGTGTGTGTGTGTGCGTGCGTGTGCGTGTGCGTGTGCGTGTGCGTATGTGTGTGTGTGTGTGTGTGCGTGCGTGCGTGCGTGCGTGCGTGCGTGGGTATTTGTGTGTGTGTGCGTTTGTGTTTGTGTTTGTGTTTGTGTGTGTTTGTGTGTTTTTGGGTGTGTTTGTGTGTTTGTGTGTTTGTGTGTTTGTGCGTTTGTGTGTTTGTGTGTTTTTGGGTGTGTTTGTGTGTTTGTGTGTTTGTGCGTTTGTGTGTTTGTGTGTTTGTGTGTTTGTGTGTTTGTGTGTTTGTGTGTTTGTGTGCTTGTGTGTTTGTGTGGTTGTGTGTTTGTGTGCTTGTGTGCTTGTGAGTTTGTGTGTTTGTGTGTTTGTGTGTTTGCGTGTTTGCGTGTTTGCGTGTTTGTGTGTTTGTGTGTGTGCGTGTTTGTGCGTTTGCGTGTTTGCGTGTTTGCATGTTTGTGTGTTTGTGTGTTTGTGTGTTTGTTTGTGTGTTTGTGTGTTTGTGTGTTTGTGTGTGTGTTTGTTTGTGTGTTTGTGTGTTTGTGTGTTTGCGCGTTTGCGTGTTTATGTGTTTTCGTGTTTGTGTGTTTGTGTGTTTGCGTGTTTGCGTGTTTGTGTGTTTGTTTCTTTGCGTGTTTGTGTGTTTGTGTGTTTGCGTGTTTGCGTTTTTGCGTGTTTGTGTGTTTGCGTGTTTGCGTGCTTGCGTGCTTGCGTGTTTGTGTTTGTGTGTTTGTGTGTTTGTGTGCTTGTGTGTTTGTGTGTTTGTGTGTTTGTGTGCTTTTGTGTTTGTGTGTTTGTGTGTTTGTGTGTTTGTGTGTTTGTGTGTTTGTGTGGTTGTGTGGTTGTGTGCTTGTGTGCTTGTGTGTTTGTGTGCTTGTGTGTTTGCGTGTTTGTGTGTTTGTGTGTTTGTGTGTTTGTGTGTTTGCGGGTTTGTGTGTTTGTGTGTTTGTGTGTTTGTGTGTTTGTGTCCATGCAACGCAGGCTGTCAACCCCAATTTAAGGGGCACGATCCCTGTTTGATATTTGTTCGTGTAGGGGCTAGCCATTGACATACATCGCTTGTATGGCAATGGTTTCCAGACCTAGCGCATATCAAACATGAGCCACACGGTTTTCCTTCTGGGTCAAGAGGTGGGCAACATCCCATTCTTCCCAGTCCAGGTCTCACCCGCTGCAGAACATATGCCTTTAGTGTCTCAACATGCTTGACACCCTTTCGGTTGGTATTTGAACACCGCAAAGCAACCACAATTGAATCCGTGGCAATTTCAAGGAACCCATGCGTACTTTTGAGAAACAGCCAGACATGTGGTGCCCTGATTTCTGATTTGTGGTCCCAGGGCTCACCCCTTGCCCAAGAATATAGGTATTTTCTTGTTTTGGTCGCGAAGGGAATCTATTCCTTCCGTGTTTTTGATTTTCATGGGGCTTGAGCGAATGAGGGTGTCTTTTTTGTGGGTACCTCATGTTTGCACTTCGTTTTAAGGGGGACCAAAAGGGACATCACGATGTTGGTGGGGTCCAACCGAAAAATGACACCCAGATGGATGTGCGCGTCGGAGAGTTCAGTGGGAGGTTTGTCTTCGCCCTGGAGACCTCCAACGCCGTGCAGGTGGTGCCCAGGGAGAATGGCAGCGACGTCAAGATCTACGACGCCCCGTGGACGAAAACAAATGGGCCATTTTTTTCTTCTTCAAGGTTTGCCAGGGTGGCTCCTTTTGGGGGGTTGGTTTGAAATGAAAGCAAAAGGACGACCACTATTTTGGGTCGGGGTTTTTCGGGCTCAAGTTTGGGTGTCCTTGTCAAAATCGGGAGTTCTGGTCGGGCACCTTTGACCCTCAGTCCCTCACTTCGATTTGTCTGACTTTTCAGGGCACCGCTGACCCTCACTCCCTGACTGGTTCCTTTAAATACCAACTAAAAGGGGTCCACTGGTTTTGAAACACTCAAATTGGCCGAGTTTACAACGCAATTTCGGGTAAGTGTCAAAATGCGGCGTTCCGGGCACCTTTGACCCTCTGTCCCTCAGTTCCGTTTCGCACTTTTCCGCTCACTCCCCGAGTCCCGTTTCGGACGTCAGGTACTTGTCTTTGCAAACTTGCAACCAAAGCAAACCGACCTTTTGACAGGATGGTGTCCCCTTCTGATCTATTCTTAGTTCGGTCCAAAAATTTCCTCTTTTATTCTAGGACCTCTCGGCGAGTGAGTTTGGGTTTGGGCCATGCTAGTGGCAGACAAAGCAGACGTTTTGACCAATCTACGGAAATGAGGACGTTTGTAGGCGAACTTTAAGCTTGGTCCTTGGCTACCCTTTTTTCTTGAGCAAGCCTCAAACGAGCACGTTTGACAGGGCCCCTTAAAGGATACCAGCTGGGACCAGCGGACAAGAACGCCCAAATTTGTACAGCTAATTTAGAGAATCCGAATCCTTATACAGCCGGTGGGTTTTCCGTGTATCCTTTCAGGAACCCTGTTTCACGTGTTCAGTCTAACTTATTCAACTTGGCTCCGAATTGGAACCCTCAAACTCGCTGCCAAGCATGGCATGCTTGTTTCGACCATTTGTGCTGTGCACTTTGATCTCATTGGCACGTGTCATCGTCATTTTAGTGGGCCGAACAGTTCAAACTGTTCTTCCGTCATTGAGGGCAAACCTGGACAAACCTGGAGCTGGGTTTGCAACAACTCAGATTTGTCCAAGGTTCTGAACAGGAAACCAACAAGGGATGGGTTATTTGGGGTCGATCAAAGTTGCATTTTTGTTGAGGAGTTCTCAAACTTACTTTGCGGACCTGGTGATTTCCCTCAAACCAACATTTGGAGCGTAAGTTTGAGGTCAATTTCCTGTACCCGGAGTAAACTGGGTGCGACACAGCTCCAGATCCCCCACACCACACCCACGGAAACTCGGGAGTCCAGATCACTGGTGGCAACCGTGAGAACTGGACATCCAGTCATTTCGAGTGGCACCATGGCTGCCATTCTACTCCACTGTAAGGACAGGCCTTTTCAATAATGATTAATAAGTGGCATACAGATACAGGCATCCTTGAATTGGGAGGGGACCAGATCGGGAAGCGGGGCTGGCAAACGCAGTGCGTCCTGGCATGTATGCGCCAACAAATTCCGAACCATGCAGTTTTTATTAACCTCCTTTTGAATACCGTTTCTATTGAGATGAGGTCATGTGTTCATCATGAAACCACGAACCACGATGAAACATTGATGCATCAACCACAATAAGTTTGCCGTGTAACTGACAGACCCTAACCAGCCTTCCGAAGAGTCACTGCAGAGAACTGAATTCCTTTGAGCTCCCAACAAATGGTACCAACTCGGGTTTGGATCCTACTCGCAGTTTCGGGGGCCGCAAGAAGCGGTTACCATTTGCATGGGTGAGTCAGTGAGGGAAACCAACCGGCAAGCCGACATGGCGTCCAAATCCTCGGCAGGTGCATGGCACCTTGTTCTTCGGCAGCACCTCCCACTTCCTGGAGCTCTTCCCTGAGGACACCCTGGCCAAGGCGGGCTTTGGGCTTCCTCGGCCAGCGGCCAGCGGCTGGGGGGGGGGGGCTCCTTCCGGGGCCCCGGAAGATCCCCATTTGCCGCCATTTTTGATGTTCACCAGGGGTACAGGGTTTTGACCCACAGCCAGTTGACAACTGGAGTTCTCTAAAAACAGCGGCATGGTGTTTCTCTCAACACTGGTGTTTTGGGATTCTGTACATATCTCTATACAGATCTCTCAACGCTGTGGTGAAAATCCGCCGGTGCAATTTGAGACTGTCACCTACTCCACACATGAACCAGAGTTTTAACGCGGGGTCCTCCACGAGGGAGATGCTATAGACAGCGATTGGTGGGGGTGAATATATTGGGTGCGTCTCAGAATAAGGGATCCATGGGAAGTTTCCTTTTGGTGTCCCTTTACAAACCAACCCAAAATGGGTACCCTCAAAAAATGGGCACCCAGAGAGGTGAAGGATACAACACGGACAGTTCTGGTTCTGCCGGTCACCACTGGATAAAACTGTACCCGAGCCGTGTACAAAATGATCGGAGGGAAAGTCTGGCTGGTTTTCCAGTTTGTTGTCCTTTTGTGCAGCCAATGTTCTACACCTCGTACCAATCATGGTTTTGCTCCTTGTTTGGTGGGCTCCCAAAAATGGTCACTTCCAGTTTTCCTGGGGCCGCTGGAGTGGGTTCCATGCGGGTGTTTCAGAAGTATATGGGGGGACCTCCAAGACTCGCTGGTTTAAGTGGAGCCTAAACGGACACCAACGGGAAGCCTTAATTTTCCAACTCTCAAGTTTGAAGCCCTGTGTTTGTCATGAGTTTTAAAAGGGAGCCCGAACCTCCCTCCAATTTGACCCCCTCGTTTTGCTTTTTGTTTTTTCAAGGCAAGTTGTCTCATTCGCAAAAACTCGAACCCACATTTTTCTGCATGGCTAATCCCAAAAACAAGAAGTGCCCCCCCACCCCCCCCCTCCCCCTCCACCCCCCCCAGACTTGTAGGCATAGGTGTCCTTTTCAGTTGATTTGGTTTCAACATAGAGGGCCCTACCAGGGCCATCTATTTTCCCAAGAAGGACACCTCCCCCCCTCTCCCCCTCCACTACCCCCTCCACCCGCTCCACCACCCCCTCCACCCGCTCCACCACCCCCTCCACCCCCTCCACCACCCCCTCCACCCCCTCCACCACCCCCCACCCCCTCCACCCTCCACCCCCTCCACCCCCTCCAACTCCCGGGGCTGGTGGCTCGTTGGCGGTTCCCGTCTGAGGACCCAGAGGACGTGCGGCTGGTCTTCGAGACGGGCCACGTTGTGGACTTCTCAGCGGTGCAGGCGGGGAAACGGAGTTGGGTCGACCAGTTTAATACGCCTTACTCAGTTTCCAGTGAAAAACATGGAGTTGGGTCGACCAGCTTAATAAGCCTTTTTCAGTTTCTGGTTAAACATGGAGTTGGGTCGACCAGTTTAATACGCCTTTTTCAGCTTCCTGTAAAAAAATCAAAAAAAAACATGGAGTTGGGTCGACCAGTTCAATACACCTGTTTCAGTTTCCGGTGAAAAACATGGAGTTGGGTCGATCAGTTTAATACGCCTTTTTCAGTTTGCAGTGAAAAACATGGAGTTGGTCGACCAGTTTAATACGCCTTTTTTAAAGTTTCCGGTTAAACATGGAGTTTGGTCGACCAGTTTAATACGCTTTTTTCAGTTTCCAGTGAAAAACATGGAATTGGGGTCGACCAGGTTAATCCGCCTTTTTCAGTTTCCAGTGAAAAACATGGAGTTGGGAAGGAATGCAGAGAGCGAGCTGGCCATGGGCAACATTGTTTTGCTTCAACTCCGCTGGCTGACTAAGATCTGTCCAGCACAACTGCCAGCATCGAAGCTTCAGTATACATCAGGATCAGCGTAATACGCCTTTTTCAGTTTCCAGTGAAAAACATGAAGTTGGGTCGACCAGTTTAGTCCGCCTTTTTCAGTTTCCGGTGAAACATGGAGTTGGGTTGACCAGTTTAATACGCCTTTTTTAGTTTCCGGTTAAACATGGAGTTTGGGTCGGCCAGTTTACTACGCCTTTTTCAGTTTCCAGTGAATACATGGAGTTGGGTCGACCAGTTTAGTACGACTTTTTCAGTTTCCTGTTAATAAAAAAAACATGGAGTTGGGTCGACCAGCTTAATACGCATTTTTCAGTTGCCGGTGAAACATGGAGTTGGGTCGAGCAGTTTAATACGCCTTTTTCAGTTTCCAGTGAAAACATGGAGTTGGGTCGACCAGCTTAATACGCCTTTTTCAGTTTCCGATGAAACATGGAGTTGGGTTGACCAGTTTAATATGCCTTTTTATGGAGTTTGGGTCGGCCAGTTGACTACGCCTTTTTCAGTTTCCGCCTTTTCAGTTTCCAGTGAAAAACATGGAGTTGGGTCGACCAGTTTAATGCGCCTTTTTCAGTTTCTAGTGAAACACATGAAGTTGGGTTGATTGAAAAAGGCGTATTAAACTGGTCGACCCAACTCCATGTTTAACCAGCAACTGAAAAAGGCGTATCGACCCAACTCCATGTTTTTCACTGGACACTGAAAGAGGCGTATTAAACTGATCGACCCAACTCCATGTTTTACCGGAAATTGAAAAAGGCGGATTAAGCTGGTCGACCCAACTCCATGTTTCACCGGCAACTAAAAAAGGCATATTAAACTGGTCGACCCAACTCCATGTTTTTTACTACAAACTGAAAAAGGCGTATAAAACTGGTTGACCCAACTCCATGTTTTTCACTGGAAACTGAAAAAGGCGGAAACTGAAAGAGGCGTAGTAGACTGCCCGACCCAAACTCCATGTTGTTTTTACTGGAAACTGAAAAAGGCGTATTAAGCTGGTCGACCCAACTCCATGTTGTTTCACTGGAAACGGAAAAAGACGTATTAAACTGGTCGACCCAACTCCATGTTTAACCGGAAACTGACAAAGGCGGATTAAACTGGTCGACCCAGTGAAAAACATGGAGTTGGGTCGACCAGTTTAATTCGCCTTTTTCAGTTTCCGGTGAAACATGGAGTTGGGTCGACCAGTTTAATACGCCTTTTTCAGTTTCCAGTGAAAAACATGTAGTTGGGTCGACCAGTTTAGTACGCCTTTTTGTGTTTCCAGTGAAAAACATGGAGTTGGGTTGACCAGTTTAATCCGCCTTTTTCAGTTTCCGGTGAAACATGGAGTTGGGTCGACCAGTTTAACACGCCTTTGAATTGCCAGTTAAACAGGGATTTGGGTCGACCTGATTAATACCGAGGGCCCTCTATTGGTGGCTCCGAGCGGCGAAGGGTTACCCCACGCCAACAACGGGCCAATGCAACAAACGTGAAATGGATTCGTATCAAAATAGGGACCTCCCTCCAACAAACAAGTGGCTGAAAGTTTGGGTTCTGTTTCAGCCACCACAGGCTACCCTCAAAGTTACACCCACATGGATGTATCTGGATCCTTTGTTGCAATTCTTGCGAATCTCAGGTCCCGAACGGCAGGGGAAATTCCTTAGCTGGAGGCTAATGATTTTGAAGTGAGCGACAGCTTCAGTAGACTGTGGAACAAATTCATCATTCCCGATTCCTATAGGCTTTCTGGACCGTAGAACATCATTGACGCTGAACTTGAGGGAGGTGCATGATTCAGTGTGTGTTTTGTGTCGGGTGATGTCCTGCAAAACTCGCCTATGCTACACATGTTCCTCCCGGACTGGGTGCAAACCGGGGGGCTGCCCTGGATCCGTGCGCATCCGAAAAGGGCCCCCCCTTTGGATACATTCCTTGGTGGGTCGAACCCCACGACGATCGGCGCTTGGGGTGTCTGAATTTCTGGTTGATAACCCGTGCATCGATGATGGTTCTTTTTGTGTTGAAGGGGATACTCCGATGTCCAGCCACCAAAGGTACAAGCTGAGGCGGTTGATGTCTTCAAATTTTGACTTGGATCCCCAAACTGGCGGCTTCGCTCGAACCCCAGAAGGAACCAATCTGAGGGGTCCGATCTTTGCCCCTTTGGAGGCCTTGAAAGACGGAATTCAAAGGAAACCACAGAGCCGACTCACCCAGCCCATTGTGTTTGGGGCTATGTCCGAGCCGGGCTTGGTGTTGAAATGGGAAAAAGGGACTCCGATAAATCCATGTCTGGGGCCTGTTTTGACAGATACCCCTTTTTCGGGTACTAGGTAGAGCTTGCTTTTCCCGGGGGCAGACCTTTGGGTTTTAGTCCTTGAGCTAGTCCAAAACTGCGCCTGCACCGCGACGGGTGGGAGCCACCGAACCCGGGATCGGACTTGGTTTTTCCCCTATGAATCAAGCGAATTCATGTCGAAGGGGCATGGGGCCGAGGAAAAGATGCAAGGTGTTCTGCAAGACCTGGATGTCCTTCACAAGCGGAAATCCCAGGCAAGCTGGGTAACCCTGCGCTAGGTTCCTTTTGGATTTTAAAGGGTGGGTTCCCTGGACCTACTATGACCGGTAAATGGATCCACAGGGTTAGGTTGCACCCTGTTTTCAAAATCAGGCCTAGTTTAGGTTGCACCATGTCATGTTTTCAGAAGAAAAAGCACGGCACGTGACCCGCGAAAACGTGAGGCCCCCACTCTTCTCGTTTGTATTCTCTCTTCTTTTCTTTTCTCCAGGCGCTGAACAAGCTGGGGGAGCGCTACGGCGCCAAGGGCAAGCGTCTCACTCTGCAGCAGCTTATGCCCAAGACCCACCGGGTGCTCTCCAGGCGAAAGCGAATGCGAACTCGATTTCCTTCGTGCGAATCGGTGGGTTTTCACTTAATCCGATGCGGGGATGGGTTTGGGGGCCAGGAGAGCTTGCTTTGAGTTCGAATTGGAAAATGCGCGTCTCATGCGAAGTCGGTTTTTTTTTGGTGTGTTTTCTTGGGCGAAGTCGTTGCGAGAAGAATTCGTGCGAAGCGAATCGCGTTCCCGAAGCGACCCCCGGGGGGTGGGCCCTTGCGCTTTTTGGCTTGCTTTGGATATAGTTTTTCCAGGAAGCTGAAAGAGGATGCCATTCTTGACAGCCCTCCAGTTACGCTCGTTTAAACCTCACATTTTGGAAGCGCCAATTTGAACAGGAGTTTCCTCTAAGAGTGATGCTGAAAGAGGGCACATAGGGTGGGAGCAAAAAAACGGGAAGGGCAATTTTCAGGTGTGGTGGTTCGGAGGTGTATTAGTTGTTTCTTGGGGGATTAGGCAGTTTTTTCTGACACTGACAAGTTTAAGTTATTTCCACAGCTCCAAGCAACCCAGCTAGATGTTTCAACTTGACGTAACGGGCTAAGCTTTGAATGTTTTGGGCGGGATGAAGGGCAGAAGGAATTTTCTTGGATCTTCTGGAGCCCCATTGAATGGGGAGCCCAACAACCGCCCCAACAACCGCTCCCCAAAGCCAAACGGAAAAATGTCAACCATGGGAACAAAAAATTGAGGGTCTATTGTTTAGGGACCACGAGAAGCGTGTTGCACTCAATTTTGTCCACTGAAAATCAGGGCTGGGTCCCAAGTTTCCGACATATACAGCAAACATGGTGTGTTGGCTCATGGCAAAGTGGCAGCTTCCGTTTGGCTTCCATGCCAAGTGGGCAGGTCCCGTAAAATACGGGCCACTCATTTGTGTGCAGTGACCGAAGAGGTAGGTACACTTTTTTCTGCGCCAGTTTTGGTTGTTTTCCTTCAGGATAGCTGTGAATCAGAAGTACTTCAACAGAATGTCCAAAACAGGACACCGTAGCCCTTTTTTGGTCTCCTGGGAATGAAACTCCGAAAAGCCCGTCAAAATGGAATCCCACCCCACCCCCCTTCCCCCTATGGTAGCTAGAGGCCTTGCAATGGTGGGTATGTTTACCCCATGGTTCTAATGGCCCGCATCCTGGGTCCTCAAAAACATCGAGCCCTTTACGTCCAAAACTTTCCACTCCAGGTCGATTCAAACGGTGCGAATGGGGTACCTTCCATTTCCATTCCTTTCCGGGATCCTTCGGAAACCAAATCGACCAAACGGATCCATCCGTTTTGATTTTTGACAAGAACGATGGTTGAGCCAAGCCCCAGACCAGTGGACAACAACTCTTCACCAATCGGGTAACCCTATGAATACTTTGGTGCATGTTGCTTGGATGTCTGGACTTTAGCTTTTTGTCAACAAATGGGTTTTCCGTATTAAACCACTAAAAGTTATTACTTTTAGCAGGGGAGCAGATTTCGCAACCGAGACTAGTTAAGCCACCAGGTGCGAATCAATCCCTAGAGTACGTTCAACCAATGCCCATCCAACGCAGACAGGCCGACCTACCCAGAAGGTCGCACCCAGATATGTACCCAACAGTAGCTGGAGGTATGGCCATGGGTCATAACATGCATTTCTCCATTTTGGGGCGGATTTTGGACACATGTACCACCTATTCGGATGAAGCAAAACATGGGTACCATTGGTTTTGACAACATGAACACACACATGTACCACCTATTTTTATGTTCACCATACAAGGTTTTGACCCTTAAGGCCATATGGCCTTAAGTCATGACTCCCTATTTTTTGTGAGAGTAGTCCTGGTGTCCGACTTTCTGGATCCGAGTTTTGGTGTCGATCTAACCGTCTGCTGCTGTTGGGTTAAGGATTTTTAGACGTTAACTTTTGGGATATTTCCTCATCACGGCTCCTTAAAAGATCTACACATTTTGCAACCATTTGAAACATGCGGCTTTTTCAACACCAAAATAAATGGACACCACCATTTACAAGTTGCATAATGCATCCTTTTAACCTGCAAACAGTTAAGCTTTTTAAGCTGGGGGACCTGCAGCACAGAACCGTCCCTTTCTTTTGACTCAAGCCCTCGCTTCAGGGCGCAGGGCCTCCTCACAGAAGAGATCACCTTGGTCCTGGAGGAGGACACGGTGCTGCCCAGACCAGCAGCACAGGACCCGAGGGATGGAGTGAGGCTCCCGAGTTCCATCTTAACTTTGGCGCATTTTGCCAAGGGCTGTTAGGACTTTAGCTTTTTGCCAACTAATGGGCTTTCCACTAAACCACTAAAAGTTAGTCATTTTTAGCAAGGGAGCAGATTTCGCAACCGAGTTAAAAGTAGTTTTTAGTTGTCGCCTTGCTCAACAACCGATGAAGATTCGTAAGGGACAGTCCTAACCATAAACGCGGTGCCTTCGCCACCTTGAGAATTGCCACGATTTTAACACCATGATTATGACTCACCTTTCTGGGAGCTACAGGAGGTTTGAACCGGGGGCTTTGTGGCTTTAAACATCCACTGGTTGGTGTGAGTTTGAAAGGTGAGCCCTTTGTGAGGGCAGGCAGCTGGGATTCAATCCACTAGCACTGGACCCCAAAGAAGCCCAACATCCGGGACGAACCCAGAAAGGGGCTCCTTATCCTATGGCTGGTTGTTGGTTGTTTGTTTTCTTGAATTGGTGGCCGGTTGATTAGGGGAAGCTTTCCCATTCCTTCCAGGAATCCAAATTTGCAAGAAATGAAAAGAACCCGGGGTAAACAGTTCCGGTTTTTGAAAAGAACGATGGTAAATAACCATAATGGGACTCGAATCATCCCCTTGAGGTTGGTGTTGGTTCAGGTAACCCGTTTGGTTGGTGGTTTGGATTGGTGGTTTGGGTTCCAATTTCAATCCCTGATTCGCTTTTGTAGAGGGCAAGTGGATTCGAACCCCTCCTTGACCCTCGAACCAACCCATAGAACTGTGGATGGACACAAACCCTGAAAACCAATCAGGCAACCCCCTGGTTGGTTGCTTGGTTGGTTAGTTGGTTGGTTGGTTGGTTAGTTGGTTGCCTGGTTGCTTGGTTGGTTGGTTGGTTGGTTGGTGAGTTGGTTATCTCCAGCTCCGGATTTCTTTGACAGGAGTTCAACCCGCATCTACACATCGAGCGGGTGCCATCCGCGCTTTCGGCTTGGAGAGATCGGGGTCGCGGAGGTCTCTGGCGGTTTCTTGGAGGGTATATATCAGATATAATATGTATTATTATCATTATGTTCATTATGTTCATTATTATTATTATTATTATGATTATTATTATTATTATCTTCATTATCATTATTATTATTATGATTATTAGTAGTAGTATTCATTATATTGTTTTGGTTATTATATATATATATATTACGCTAGGTTTCGGGCCCAGCAAAATGGGTGGTTCCTTGTTGCTTCTCTTTGCCAGACTTAGCTTACCTTTTGAACATGTTTGCCTTTTTGTGGTTCCTTCTGTTGGGTGTTTTGTTGTGTGTTTAAGAACCCACAACATGGCTTCGTTTTCCTTTAGGTTTCCCTTTAAAACCAACCCCCGAGAGGTACCAACCAAAAAAAGACCGACCCATGTTTCCCTTCAACCAACAACCTGCCGTCTTGCCTCGTCTCGGGCTCGTAGTTCGACATCTCGTCCGGCTGTAGTTTTTTGTTTCTTGCAGGGTGTCCAAGGCTGCCCCAGCTTTAACCACTCCAAAAGGGGTAGCCTTAAAAAAGACGAGCCCAGAAAAGTCAAATAACTACACCCATTTTGATCCTATGATCAAGTGATTTGGCTTGACACCCATTCTAAAAGCAAGGCCCTTTGTAGTGGTATAAAGGGCTAAATAGTTACTAGTGTAGACCCATAATCATGACCAAGGTTGGTTGGGGAGGATGGATGCACTTACTTGGTTTTCCTTGTCCAGTTTTGCACTTTCTCTCTTTGCATTGCAGTCCCTTGTTTGTTGGGCGCTGTGGCTAATTCCACATGAGCAACAACACTCCCCCTGTTTGTTTTCCAGATTGATTAATGCGGGGTCGACACCGGTCAGGGATCAACATGGACCAGACTTACTCTACTTTTCATGGAGCCACACAGGGTGTCCAATTCTCCCCTTCATGTGAACATCGAACCCCAAAACCATGATTTGTAGAGGAAACTTCTTTTGGGCCCATTCTGGAGGTTCCATGTCAGTTTGCGGGGTCAAGAGACATGGGAAAATTGGCCGGTTATTCAGACTGGTCGCCCTCCCCAAATCATCGTGTAACCCCGTTAACCCCCCCCCCCCCCACGGTCATTGGGCGGACGCGGCGTGATGCGCTGAGGTGGACTTCTCCTACGTGACTCGCCAGAGATCCAACTCTACAGACAGAGAGGAGCAGGAGTCCGCCTGATACCAACGAAGATGTTGGTGAGCACTGATGACAATCCTTAGCTCACTTCCTGAGTTCATGAACTTTAAAGTTTTTGGGGAGACCATTTTAGTGGTAAACAAAAAGTTTGGATTTTTTTTTGGCCATCCACTCAGCAAGTGAGTTAGGTAAACCCCTGTGGCTTTTGAGCCCCATTGGTTTCAATGGGTAGTTACTGAACCCCAAGGGATGTTAGAAAATTGGACCCCCGAACATGGTGGTCCTTCTGGTCTCCCATTATTTCCAACCCCCAAAAAGGGTAGCCTCAAAAAACAACGTAGGTTATGGCAAAAGTGTCAGGTTCATGGGAATCCGCCAAGTTGATTGCAACTTTTGAAGGGGAAATCCAGTGATTGGACCAAAATTCGATCCGCCCCAGGAAGTCGTTGATTGAAGAAGTGGTAGCCGGAATCGACATATCAGCTGCTGATAGATCACTGAAGGGGCCTACAGGCACCGAACAATGATTTGGCAGGGACATGTGAAAAACTATTTTGTGGGGGTGTTGGATGGTGTTTTGGGCTTGCTTTTGCGTGTTGTTCAGCGGGTTTTGGGGGAGGGGGTTTTGTGTTTTTGGGAATGGCGCAATTGAGCAGTTATAGGGTGTCTCGTTTGTCATCATCATCGTGATTGTCACCACCATCACCACGGCGGGCGGATTCGAGCTGTGGCGGGCCGGCGCCTTTTTCCCTGCTTGTCTAGGCAAGCGCAGCTCTTCGGCGAAACATGGAATTCTCCATGTGCACGCAACTTGCTGCGAGCATATGCGGGATCGAGGCCTTTGTGGTGCTAATTTCTACACAGATCAGTGGACTCTCGAATTGCCCCGGGTCCTCTAGGGCAACCGGGTATTTCGACTGTGCCTCATATATGAGTTTGCGTGCGGCACGACCTCAGACGTGGTTGGTGGACTTGAATCCCCACCGAAATGATGTTCCCCAAAGCGGCCTCCCCCAAAAAACTGTTCCCATACGGGTGCATTTGGGTTGCTCGTTTGGTTGATACCAATTGATCTGTTTTCGTCTTAACGCCCAAACTGCTGACACTCTCCCTTGCTCCTCTATAGGTCAACATGAGACTTGTAGACCAGCACCCCCCAACTGCTGTTTGAAAAGTAGCAAGGGGACTTTGGACACGCTTGAAGAAGCCGGCACGTTGGGAGCTGGGAGTAAACTTCCTTTTTTGGGACTCACTTTTGGGTTCCTTCCGTGAACTTGTCGGGGAGTATCGCATTGATCCTCTCGCACAGTGCCTACTTCGCAAAGTTGTTGAAGGCGTGTGGCTCGCAGAGTTTCCTGCAAACTAAGTAAGTCACAGGGATGCAGTGCATGTTCTTTATCAATATACAAGAAACATGTGGGGCATGTTTGAAACTTCACGTATGCATTTGTTGACTTGCCGGGCAGGAGGGGCAGTTCAACAAGTAAGAGACGAAGAGCTGTATCGTAGTCAGCGGTGCTGCATCCGAATCAGCCACGACGCTCACTGGTACAGCCATTTTTGTGGACTCGCTCGCGAGATCTAAGGCGACTTTTGGCCGAAGCACCAGATGTTGCAGGACCCATATTGTGCAGCGCATAAGGTTGCAAAGCACTTTCTCAGGCAGCCCAAAAGACAGACACAGGCAGAGAACTAGCCAGACAGACACACACAGACACGGTTAGGGCCTGAAGAGACTTGCACATCTCACCGGCCGATGGGTTTTGAGGAGTCACATGTGTAAGCAGCTTGATTTGCCGAAGCTAACATGAAACTATATTGTTGCAAAATCAAGCGAAAACTCAAGCAGCTTGTGCCGAGTATCAATTGTGAAACTATAATTCTTGTTGGGCGTGGCGCATGTAAAATACGGTGCAAGCGCGCGAGATAAGTTCAATGCTGAACCACCTCAACATGTTGCACATCACAACATGTATGTCGCAGTCCACCGGCATCCTTACTTGGAATTTGGCGTGCGCTCATGGATATTTGGGGATGGCCATGTGTGTGTAGTACGTGCGTGCACGTGTGTGTGTGTGTGGCGCGGGTGCTTACATACACATGTAGATGCATGTCAATACTACATACATTCAATGGATACATACATATATATATATATACATACATACATACGTACGTACATACATTGCATTGCATTGCATTGCATTGCATTGCATTGCATTGCATTGCATTGCATTGCATTGCATTGCATTGCATTGCATTGCATTGCATTGCATTGCATTGCATTGCATTGCATGGCTTCCGTTCAAAAAGGCCGGCTAAGCAGCTATATACAGTATGTTCATAATTCCTGTTGCATCTTGCTTTTTCCTTTTCGACATGAAGCGGGCCCCCACCTAAATCATGCAAATCCCACTGGCAGCGCTAGCTTCGCGCTAGCTCGGCGCTAGGTCGGGGACGTTAGTTGACGTGGCACGTGAGATGCGCACGCATGGCCCTTCTGTCCGGTGGCTCTCAGCGCTCGAGGCATTCCTTGCTTGCAACGCGAAAGTGCTGCACCACATGTCATGCATCACATGTGTTTAGCCTGACACATACACACGCACATATGGACACACATATATATATATATATATATGCGTACGTATTACGTATTGTCAGACTCGCGTGCCTTTTTGGTATAGCGCATGGCATCCTTTGCACTGCTGAATCAGTGGCGAATGCATGTGGCCTCCGCTATCCCAATTGCGACACCGAAAATCATAAACCACCAAAACAGTCCAGAAAAAGTGCTTCAATCGCCTAGTGGGTGGGACCGTCAAAACAGTAGGGACCTGTTGTCAAGACCGAAAGATTATGCTTTTTTGGTTGCTGGGCCCGTAGGAACGTTTTGCATCGCGGAGTTTGCAAGGGCGACCCTTTTCCCGGCTGAACTTGAAAGCGCCAGACATGGGCCTTCCGTTGGAACGGCCAACAGCCGCCTCTTTTAGAACGTGCAGAGAACTGCACACCGCAACGTCTCAGCTTAGGTTTGGTCAAAACATGGTAGCAAGGACACCGGGGACTTTGCGAGAACATCACTTTATGGCCAGCCGCGTATGAGCCACGGACAATATTACAAGTAACCACAAACATCCGGGGCAAGAAGCAACTCTATAGAGGTTTCTTGGGGAAGTAGAATCTTTTGTCCGTGACGCTAGTAAGACATAGTATCTACGATTAATGAGCATCGATGAGCGCATGTCATGTCAATCAGAGGCAGTGTGGAGCAGTTCTCTGAAATCCGAAATCTGCTTGCTTCAGTGGTGCGACGCGGCCTTTTGCTATGGCAGAGTTTGTGAATTGGCGGATGGTGCATGGGCCACATGCGTCTTCCAAAGTCGAAGAGTGCGGCCTGGATGTTTCGCTCGTAACAAGGGAAGAGGGCGGTTTTGAGACTATCAAATCCCCTTTGCAACTTGGCCTTTGGGAGAGTAGGATGGTCTTGTGCTTCGAATTTGTCGAATCCCGTGTCCCATCTCTTTTGGCCCCTTTGCCTTTGATTTTGTGACAGGTCTTGTGTTTTGTGAGTGTAAAGTTAAAGCAAGCGCGGCGCAGTTATTCATTGGAGGGCACAGAGGATGCCTTCTCGACGCGGAATCGCAGAGCTTTCCGCGGCAAAAGGCGACGGGTGTGTGTGTGTGTGTGTGTTTGTTGAAGGTACCCTTCTTGAGACTGCTTTAAACAGAAGACAAAAGGGCGTCCAACCACTTTGGAGGTCCAAATCCCCATTTGGACACACGCCGAGTTGGTAGAGATCATCAAGGGAGTTTCCATTTCAGGCTTTGAGGGAGTTTCAACAGCTAGGCGTGTCAGGAAACCATCAGGACCCAAGGATTGGGGCGAGAGGAAGCCAACCACTAGACTTGACGCATGTGGACCTATTAATGGGCAATATTGCGTTCTCCCAAGTTAGAATCTTTGCCCAACCGTCCACATTCCTGACACATAGTGTACCCACCATCACTTCTTTTAAACCTCTGACAAAAGGGCCAGGGAGGTGTATTTTTTCGCCCTTCAGGACATCTAACAAATCTCGGAGCCACTTTGTATGAAACTGCCTAGGCTGAGGCGCAAGCCCCTTCCTGCGTTCCTGCGGGCGGGTTTCACCAAAACTCACTCCCTGAGTTCCTGGGCTTGAAATGATGAAACTTTTTGGGCAAACCATTTTAGTGGTACACACAAGTTTGAGCGTTTTCTGGGCGAGTCCACTGAGGAAGTGAGAAAAGACCATCTACTTTCACCCAGCGTTACGTGGCGCGAGCAATGAACCGCCGGTCGTTGGGCGCCCTTCCAGGCGAGGACTACTGGTCCGCCTTTGCAGCGGGGGCCCTGTTGCTCCGATGCCGAACGTGGAACCCAACACAAGCTTTGGTGCATTTTGCTTGGCTGTTAGGACTTGAACTTTTTGCCAACTAATGGGTTTTCCACTAAACCACTAAAAGTTAAACTTTTAGCAGGGGAGCAGAAAGCAACCGAGCAAGGGCGGAGGTGTCCTGGACGAGTGGGTTTGGAAAGGCGGACCCTCGACTTTTTCTGTGCCAAGGAAAGTCGGGGAGGGTATGGCCTCCTTTATGTTCCTTTTCCGAGCAGTTTTCTATCCAAGCCCGGTCGGACTACCATCCTTTCTCAGGACTAAGCCAAGAGATGATCGAAAAACAGGGAACAGGGTGTCTTACAATAGGGGATCCCGAAAATGAGGTTTTCCCTGTGGCTTTCCTTTTAGAACGATACCAAAAGGGTGCCCTCCAATAGAATGACACCCATATGGAATTAGTTGACTGTTTTCCCACCAGCTCATTTTTTGTTTCCCAATCAACTCAATCCCAATCCCCAGAGGTTCTACAAGCCCTTCTAAGAAGCCCTTCTTAGCAAGAGCCTGTGGTCTTTTGGGGTGGGGTTGTACGGACAGCTAAATGCAAACCACCCCTCCTTTTTGGGCGGTCCAAATCGAGTTTGGAAACAACCGTGAATCCCAAGGCGCCACTTACCCGTGCAATCCT